GGACCAGGGGGAATGGTTTCAAGCTACAGCAGGGGAGATTCAGGCTGAACATTGGGAAGTATTACTTTTCAGAAAGGGTGGTCAGGCACTGGAATGGACTGCCCAGGGAGGTGGTGGAATCACCGACCCTGGGGGTGTTCAAGGAAAGACTGGATGTTGTGTTGAGGGACATGGTTTAGTGGGAGCTATTGGTAATAGGCGAACGGTTGGACTGGATGATCTTTTAGGTCTTTTCCAACCTTGGTGATTCTATGATTCTATGATTCTATATTTCCCATGGCATTTTGAAGAAAACAGCTGCAAAGCACAGTGGTGTTGCCTGCAACTCTCCAAATTAGTTTGTTGTCATAATGCTGGTATGGAGAAGACTGCTATTTGCCTTTTGTGGTCCCACGATCTGGCAGCTCACTGCTGTATTTCTCCTTGCCTGCCCCAGTCATTTGCTTTTCAAAGCATTTTTCATCCAGTGGCATCTTCCCATCCAGCCTTCTCTTCCTTGAATTCCAATTATTCCCCAAATTACTTCAGCTGCCACCTCTCCCTCTCCAGTCCTTCACCCTTATCCTCTGAACACTGCTTTGTTATCACACATCTGCTGTTCTTGAAGAATTCAATCACATTAATTGCCTCCACAAATTCACTCTCTTCATTTCCAGCACTTCAATCTTATCTGCTGCTTTTCTTGCTCTCACTGTAGCCCTGCCAGGTCTGTATCCCCACCCGCGCCTCATGCAAAGCTGCAGGAGCAGCCTCAGTATGCACTCCTGGGTGCCCTGACTGCAGGGATTTCCACATTTAATATATCCCAAAGTCCCCCTTAGCGCATTCCAGAAGAGTAACAAGGGATTAAAAAGCCAAGAGCACTTCAGGGCTGCAGGGAGAACTTCTCAGCTGCTTCGGGCAGATGAGTGGTGCTGCAAGGCAGCAACAAAAGCTGCTGGGGTGGGAGCCCTCTAAACCTTCCCCCTGGCAAGATCCATGCAGGTGTTCCTGGAGTGGTGTGCGATGCAGAGCAGCTGCCTGCCAATGTGACAATTCAGGATGGGTCAGCTGTTGGGAACCCTCCGGGGTAGTTCTGTAGGTGCTGAGCCCTAGGAAACACAGCAGCTCTGTGACCCTGCTGGTGCAGGTGATGGGAGGTTGGGTAGGAGTGGAAGATAGCGTTCTATAAACTTCATATATGGAGGCTGACATCTGGCACGTGACTTCTTGGGTTGTAGAAGAGTGGGAGGTAGAAAGCAACATCTTCTGCTGTGCAAATCTCAAAGCAATTACAGTGCAATTTATTGTGTTGATCAAGAAGAAAATCAAGGCAGTTACTCTTTGTGACCTCATCTATAGTGAAGCTTTGAATGACACTCAAATGTGTGAAAATGAGGGAAAACTTTTTAGGCTGCAAGTGAGAATGCAATCCCAAAGCGCTATACAGGCAGACCTAAGAACAGAGGCCTGAGGCACAGAGGAGAGGGAGGAGCAACTGGATGTGAGAAGTGAAAGGGAAGAAAGAAGCCAGAATCGCTCTTGCATCCTATTTCATCTCTGCCACTGATCTCCATGGTGCCTGTGGTTAGGGCCTGATGAAGTTGGACTGCAGAATCCCTGCAAGTCATCTCTCATCTTCAGCATTAATAAGGTTCTCCAGGCAGGGAAATAATCTTGCTGTGAGGGACAGAACATTGTAAAATCAAACATGAGTTTAAAAGTGTTGTTGTGTAGACAGAAATCTCAGAGAGACTCAGCTATGCAAGAGGAAGAGGGCACTCCTGGAGGGATGGTGAGAAGCCCAAGACCGTTGCTGTTGTCTGCAGATTCTGCTGGGCATAAAATCAGTGCTGCCTCCAGAGAAGGTAAAGAAAAATGAATGGGGTAAAACAGAGAATTTTAGAATCGCAGAATGCCTTGGGTTGAGGGGACCACAAGGATATCAAGTTCCATCCCCCCTGCTGCAGGGGAGGCCACCAACCTCCAGATGTGGTACCAGACCAGGGCCCCATCCAACCTGGCCTTGAACACTTTCAGGGACAGAGCATTCACAGTCTCTCTGGGCAGCCTGTTCCAGCACCTCAACACTCTACCTGTGAAGAACTTCCCATTGACATCCAACCTAAACCTTCCCTTCTTGAGCTTAATACCATTTCCCCTTGTCCTATCACTGCCTACCCTTGTAAAAAGTTGATTCCCCTCCTGTTATAATCCCCTTTTAAATGCTGAAAGGAATTTATTTGTGATGGGAGAAAATAACCATTGAATGTGATGCACATGATACAAGAAGAAGCTGAGTTGACAGACATGGCCTGATGGTGTGGCAGCTCCCACTTAATTTCCTGAAGATAATTGCAATGACATGGCTTACAGCAGTTGCATCTCGCAGTTGTTCTGTGCGACTTCGGGACTGACTATGAATGTACTCCAAACCAACTTGCTCAGCACAGCATAGGATTTGTGAAGACTTGAAATGGAAACAAAAACACTCTATAGTAAAAAGGTATTTTACTGAGATACAATAAATTTCTTAAGCAGTTTACATTTTTTATCACCTCCATAAGATGCATTCTAAACTGCTGAAGGCTTTTTAATAGCATAAACAAAATCTCTGGAAGAAGTCAATCTTTAAATTTAAGAGACATCAGCAGATATGTAGTACTGGGTGCCTGTAAAGCATTGCATTAAAATGATATAAGCAAAACAGACATTCTAGAAAAAAAGCCTTTAAAAAATGAGAATATATTTTCATATTGATCAAATATTTACTTTTTAATAATATGTTGTCTACATATACTAAAGAAACTAAATTTTTAACTTTGATAAAACTATAAAAGAAATACTTTTTTGAAAACTACCAGAAATTTGATGGTTCAAATGTGTTCTTGATCTGGCACTCATCAATGAACTTATCTGACCTCTGCACAAAAGCAGTATGTCACAGCAGGCAACTTCTCTCCAAAAAGTGCCATCACCTTTAGGTGTCAGCAGAGGTCTGGGGACAGAGCAGCACTGTGGGGAGAAGCAAGGGCAAGGAAGGCCATCTGCAGTGTTGGCACCCGGTAGGGAGAAGGAAAGATGGAAGAGCAGAGTCCAGGGGCAGATCTGAACTTTGCTTAGGGGACATCTGCTGTGTTTTATTACATCTGCAAACATTCAGAGTGTTTGCCAGCAAAGTACAGCAGATAATCATAACAAATGCTATGTTTCTGTAACTTGCTGCTGGCTCAGTGTGTGTGCCTGAAGCATAGATTTATATTATAGATAAATATTATTTGCTAATCTTTATTTTGCCTTTTTCTTTCTCCTTTCAGTATGCCAGATGGCTTGTGTTGGCAAGTTTGCAGGCTGGCTCATCAGATAGATATTAACAAACTTGAATTCCTCAGGTTCCCAAGTGAGCTGTGTATGACTGTGAAAATTTCAACATGACTCTTTTTAAATGCTAGTGGATAAATTTCACAATTATCTTTCCATGCAGACACAATCACATATACACTATCCATGCTGGGTACCTCAGGGAAGGTGGAAGCAGCATTTCCCACTGATCTGTTTTGTTATTTAGGTCAGTCATTATGCATGTCTTCAGAACAGGTAGGGTAATGTAACGTGCAGATGAATCAGAATGTTTGTGGTTTGTGCCAAAAAATAGTGAAAACTAAAATGAACACTTCTGTCAAAATTTTTCATTTGGTCATTTAAAAAAGAACAAGTACTTTTTGATCTGTCACTTCATATAGGCATTTCCAGCACTAAACCACAAGGGAAGAAGCTTAAGCATCCAAGCCAAAATTTGCTTCATCCCTAGCCTTTTTGTATATTATGTTGCTTAAATAAAATGCATTTGGGTTAACCTGAAGCTAGATATTTTTTTGTTTTGGTTTGGTTTGGGTTTTTTTTGTTTGTTTTGTTTGAGTTGAAGGATTATTTCAATCTGCAGAGAAAAATTTCCAAATCATACAGCTATAAAAGAGAAAACCAAACAACAAACAACTTTGTTGTGTGAAATGGACGTGTATGGATGAAGCTGATGGGGGAGAAATTGACCAGTCTGTTAATTTCCAGCATACATCCTGCTCCCCTGTGTACATCCCTTTCAGCATGTTATTATCTCTGTTGGCCAACCCAAAGGATTTTTTGATACACCTGTTCCTCCCCAGCCACATGTTAGGAACAGTCAAATTTTTCACAGGTAGTTGAGGTGGGATGGCTGAGGCTGGTAGGAAGTAGGTCTGCTTTCTCTCTGTATTGCACATCACAGAGATCTGTGCAGCCTGGAGATGAAAGAAGATCATCTTTTGAAGTACTGTGGCTGTTGGAAGGTGCTGTCCTGGTGGACTTCTTTCTAGATCTCACTTTCTTCAAAGACCACCTCCTCAGTTGTCTCTCCAGTGGTCACTTCTCCTTCGCTGCTGTCTGACACACTTGCCCACAGACGAGGTGGAAGTGCACAGCCTTGCTCTGTGCATGGAACTGCCCTCTGCTTCGCCAGCAACTGCTGGAGCTTCATGCCCCAGGGCTCACTCACCTCCAGGCACAAGTGGTTGCTGCTGAGGTGCTCTTTTTTCTCTTTCTGTGAACATCTCCTGAGGTATTTGATGTTTTGCCCAAGAAAGCGGAGTTTGCGACCAAAGGGTTCTGCCAGCAGGAAGCGGGACCACTGCTTGTGGAGTTCTGCTTTTACCTGAGGGGAGGAGAAAACAGGTGATGTCTTACGCCAGCCCAGCAGTGCACTCATCCAAACACTGGCAATTAAAGAAGAGGGACTGCAGAAGTGCTGAGTGTCTTGTGCCTTTGGAGTCACCTTACAGCTGTGATGGTCCTTGTAGTGCAGAAATGGGCTTGTTTGCTAAGGGAGCCTTCTCGCTCCCATCCTCTTCACTCAAACTCAGGAAAGTTTTTCCAGTGCCTGAATCCCTCTCTGTAATTTGATGTATTATGACCCTGATCCGTATGAGGGGAGAGCTCAAGTCCCTTCCATGTTTACAGCCTGATGAAGTGAAGGAAAACCCCAAGGGCTGTGGAAATGAGGACTGTGTGGCTTTTCCACAGTGTTGTGCTCAGAGATCAGGTTTGTTTTGCTGATTTTTTTTTTAATTTGGCAGCCTGCCTTAAGTCCCCAACACTCAATGTCCTGTTTTTCCCTGCCCCAACCCCATCTCTGCTCTGCAGATGGAAATCAAGCCTCAGAGCCCACGCAGAAGAGCAGCCTCCGCTTCAACTGTCAAAACGTTTGGCCTGAGAGCTCAGCTCAGCTGGGATCTAAAAGCCCCCAAAAGCAACTTTTAACTGCTGATGAGTGTTGCTAGTAGTTCTGTGCCCCTCATAAATGTTGGACAAGTTCTCCTGTGCTGCAGATGAGCACCAGGTCTTTGACAATAATTTGGAAGTTGTTCTAGGTTTCTTGGTTAAATATTAGGATTGCATGCCCTACATTTTCTATACAGCTCATATCTTTTTTTTTTTTTTTTTTTTTTTTGCCTTTAAAAAGGTGTTCAGAATCGTGTACAAGTGTCAGTATACCACAGTATACACAATACAAGTGCAGTGTATACCACATCAGCTGCTCCCAGGCTGACTATAAGGGAGGTATAAACAGAAAGCTTCAATTTAGAAAATATTTAAAATTGTGACATGAATTCCTAAGCCTACACAAGCCTCATTTCCAGAGGCAGCCTGTAATGATCTGGTGTGGCCATGCCAAGACTGCGTGCAGCTGTGGCAGCGATGAAGGCCTCCAGTACCGGGCTGCAGAGCAGAACGCGGAGATTAAGTGGTTATACTCCTTTACTCAGTGTCAACACTGTATCTGATATTGGGGCCCTTGATGTAACAAATATGGTGATAAGCTTGGACTTTTCAGTAGGGAACAGTGTTGGAGCATTTGCACTTTGAGGAGAGGCTACATGAGTAGTGCTTGTTCATTCTGCAGAGGAGAAAGGCTTCAGTGGAGTTCTGAATGTAGCCTATGAGGAGACTGTGGGGGATTTGGAGATAGTTGTCCTAAATTGAAACAGAAGTTCTTCCTGGAGCTCTGGAAAAGATGGTTCCTTCTGATAGCCAGGAAGCACTAGAGCAGAGGACAGGAGAGGTGGCAGAACCACCGCACTTGATGGTTTTCAAAGCCCTGCTGGACAAAGCCATGACCTGCCTTCTCTGAATTCCATCTCCACAATGCACTGAACAAGAGATTGGACTGGGGTTCTCCCGAGGTCCCTTGTGAGTTTTCTGTGATTTCTCTGCTGGCACCTCCTTGCACAACCGTTAATGATCTGTCTCAGTTCTGGCATGGAGCAAACAAAACCCTCAAACTGAGCCTTGAGGCTTAGTGGAAAACAACCTCCAGTCAAGAATTGCCTTCACCTCAAATTTAGAGATGTTCTTTGCAGTGCACACATGAAACTGATTTTTCAGCTTGTTGCTTTTTACCATGTAAGCATGCCAGATTTTGCAGCTTTACCTAGACTGTAGGGGAAAGTAAAGCAAGAGTTCAGCCTAGCCAGGGATATAAACTGGGATTTCATCTGTGTAAAGGAGTGGAGTTCAGAGGGCTGACCATAAGCATTCAGTGATGTTTCACGTCATAGAGTATCTATATGTCCACAGTGCCATATATTAACACAAGCTTAACTGAAAGTACTTTGCATTTGAATCCATTTGAATATGAGAAGTCTTGCTTTCTTTATTCAAAACAATTACATAAGCTTTAAAAGGTGTAAGTATGCTCTCCAATTACCAGAGCTAGTCAGTGTTTTCATCCTTCTTGGTGTCAATATGTTTAACTAATTAACCAAAAACTTATATCGCCATCTCTTACCTCTCCGTTTGCAAAGCAATATAAAACTGCTACAAAAAAACCCTGTAGGAGACAAACAGTAAGAAGGAAAAGTTAATTATCTGAAGGTTTAGTGTAGAGTTGGCACTAGTATTAAAGCCATAGAAACACGCAGTGCTATCTAATTTTCAGAATGCAAACTAGTTATCCGTCGTAATTTATCACTGCTATCAAGTACTCATCAATTTATTTTTGTGTGATGCCTTAGCAAATGTAGAGCACATTTGTAGATGTTTTGATGCAGATGCTGAAGAATGGAGGCTCTGCAACCCTATCTGATCTTATGTTTAATCTGTATTTTACTACCATAGAGTTCTTTTTTTCAGACTATTACTGTTTAATTACTGTTATAGTTACAGTAATTTAGTTTAATAGTTTAATATATAATATTAAATATAAATAAATTAATATAGTTTAATTACTGTTACTGTTATAGTAATAGACTACTACTAGTCTAATTCCTGTTCCTAGACATGGTAAAACAAACTGAAATGCATGTCAAAACTCAATATTTAATATGTAATACAGTTGATATCATTCTTTTTCACATTGAAACTTTTTTTCCCCCCAGAAATATTTCTGTTTTTCTCAGATTTACAATGAAATTCACAGCAGTTTTAATATTTTTATTATGCCTACCATTGACTAATATCAGTTTGAACCTACAGGGTTCTAACAATCCTCTAACCCTCTCTGTCATGCCAGTGGGTGCAAGGACAGGAGAAAAACCAATTGCAATTGCTTTCTGTGAATATTTTAATTCTTCCATCTTTCATGCTCCTTCTGGATAGTGGTTGCAAGATCTGTGTGCTTCTGACATATCCTTTGTCAGTGTAACTTTCAAATGATTCTCTGCATCTGAATTATCTCACAGCATTATGAAAAAAATAAATCTGAATATTGAGAGACTTTATGTTGATTAAATACAAGTTGGCTTTAAAAAGCAGTTTTTATGCAGAACTACACATGGAAAAAGAGCTTTTTTTGCAGAACTTCTTCATCTGAAGATTGTTCTCTCATTGGATAGAAATGCCACATGTCTCTAATCTCTTACACCATGGAAACTGACAAGCAGAAATAGGGGCCGTACCGCTTGGTGCTGCTAAGAGATGGCCAGAAGTCACCAGAACAGGAGAAGGCTTTGTGAGTGCTGGTGGCATCTCTGTGCTGAATGGAGGTTTATCAAGCCCCATGTGAATTAAAGCACCGAATGATGCACAGAAACACTGTAAAATGACATCAGAAGGTGGCATGGTTATTTGTATTTGCTGTTTGTTTTATATCCTGATTTCTGTAATGCTTTTGTTGTGCTTTTTGAAAATGTTTGAGTGAAAGACTCCAGGGAAGATCCCAGAGGTGGCTCTTTTCCTTTAATGAAACAGTTTAACTGAGCTTTAAAAGTACTGAGGAGATTTACAGACTAAACAAATGTAATTGGGTACAGTTTATGTGCTTTTTTCACTAATCCCTTAAAAAATTATGTTGTGGCTAAAAAAGAGAATCTACAATAAACATCACCCAAGATTTCTGGGTATTCTGAAAAGAAGTTTTGCTTCTAAAGCTTGTCATACAGCAGAGCACGTGCACCTTCCTGTAAATAGAACAAAGTTTGTGCTTTTTGGCAGGGTTGAGTAAGCTGTCCTCTGTATCATGCTTCCTTGTCCAAGCCACTAAATAAAAAATTCATTTAAAATGATTATGTTGCTTAAAATAACATCTAGACCCTGCAGCCTCTCCAAGTAAGGATATGTCTAACATACACTTCAACACCATATCAAACAGTCCTCTTAGGGTGATGGTTCCACATGAATTGCCTTCTTCCCGCCTGGACATTTTTCTGCTCAATTGGAAATTTTTCATTTGAGGATCAAATTGCAGTCAAAGCACTGATGCATACACCAAGGCACTGGAGCATACATACAGATTGAAAACTGAGATTACAATAAATTCTAGTGCTTTGATGCCTTCATATTTCAGGCTACCAAAGACGGCAAAAGGGCTGAGTTAGTGAGCAAGAAGGACTTCTGGCCCAAAGAATTCCCGGGCACCTCATTAAAGACAGAAGATCTGGATGCTGATGTGTGGTATCACTGAGATTATTAAGGCTGAAAGGCAAGGCAGGGCAAGAGTGTTGAATGAATCATGGAATGGTTGTAAAGGTTCTCTTAGCCCCCCAGGCTCTCCTGCCATGGGCTGGCTGCCCCCCCCAGCTCAGGCTAGCAGCAGTGCTGTGGCCTCTCTGCCTCTAGGTAAGGAATTTCGTCTTCATATCTAACCTGCATTTCCCTTCTTTTAGTTTAAAACCATTCCTCCTTGTCCCATCACTATCAGACCATGTAAAAAGTCTTTCTCCTTCCTATCAGCTCGCCTGAAGTTCTGGAATGCCACAGTGAAGTCTCCGTGGAGCCTTCTCCATGCTGAATACCCCCAGTTCCTCAAACTACCTGGAAAGGTAGTTAAATGGGAGTGCTACATGTAAAAAATCAATACTCAGCAACTTTGTATAACATGGATTGATGCATACAGCAGTGCAGTGACTGGTATGTCCATTCCTTAGCCTTTCTAAACTGCAGGATAAAGTTACCATGAAACACGAGTGTAGTTATGCATAAGTGATGGTGAGAGTGGTGAGATTCACTATTCGTTTTCAGTAATGGCTAGCTGTGGAATTTGGACTATTTAGCATTAACCGCTATAATGGAGCATGCTTCCTTTACACATACAATTTCCTCTACACATGTACGATTACCCAAAATGGAGTGAAACTGTTCCTTGTATCTGCAGGTATTGTGCCCATTTTCTCTTATTTTTCTTTTTTTTTTTTCTTTTCTTGTTATGTGATATGACATAATCATTGTGGTGTATTTGACATATGCTGAATATACAAAATTTGCTGAAGAACATGAACCCAGGCCCAACCTGCTTCTCCTGACTACAAAATCAAGAGGTCACTTTAAAATTGTAATAAAATTCTGCCCAGTGTTTTTAAAGAATTAATTTACATGAAACACTACTTAAAATAGGCTGGTTTTATTCTGTTTTCCGGACAGAGATCTGTCACTTACTATCAGAGAACACAGGATATGCTCTGTCTGATAACATCAGACTCCTTTTTTTGGACTTTGGGGTCACCATGTTTTGAACACTCTGTGTATTTTTTATCATCTCTACTGTATATTTACAGACATTACAGGCCACAGTAAACTATTTTAAAAGGATTCTATACGCCTGTGGAATCTACACATAAACAACATACGTAGGTAGTGGGTATGTGACGCCTAAAAAATACTTGCAGAACAGTACTTACATGAAATGAACTCATTGTCAGCTGAATGAAAAGTCTTACATGTCTTGGAAATCCTTCCACCTGTTCATCAGTGATGAAGGAAAATATAAACTCATGGATCCCCAGCAATGGAATCAGCACAAGTGTAGATCTTGCCAGTCTTAAAAAGAAAATATTTAATTATGGTATTTCTCAACATCCTTAGTGCAAAAAGTGGATCTACATAGAAATGATTCCAGAAATGATTGCCCAGCTAACTAGGGGGCTCTCAGTTAGCTAGATATTGACAAAAGTGATGTTGATCTGTAAGAAGGGAGGAAGGAGATCTGGGGGATTAACACACCTGTCAGTCTGACATCCGTGCAGGGAAAGTCATGCAGCAGAGCATCTTGGGTGAAATCATAAAGCATGTGCAGGACAACAAGTGATCAGACACAGTCAGCATGTGTTTATGAAAGGCAGGTCCTTCTTGACTAGCCTGATTTTCTATAAAAAGATGACCTGTGTAGTGCACGAGGGAAAAGCTGTAGATATTGTTTACTTGGACTTTTGCGAGGCATTTGATATTCTATCCCACACCTTTCTCCTGGAAGAACTGACTGCTCATAGTTTGAATGGATGGCTAGAAGACTGGGCACAAAGGGTCACCGTGAATAGAGTTAAATGTGGTTGGCAATCAGTCACAAGTGGTGTTCCTCAGAGCTCAGTACTGTGGCCATTTTTACTGAACATTTTAATCAATGATCTTGATGGAGGGGGTGCAAGCTCAGTAATTTTGCACAGTGCCTGTGTCAGTGAAAAACGGGTAGGTGCTGGTGACCAAGGAAACTAGGAACATTTCACAGATATTCTGAACATTTCTTCTTTTGAGGGCCCTTTGTCACAATCACAAAAAACAGAAGTTACAGCAGTCAAGGCTATTTTATATGCATTCTGGACACCCATACTGCATTTTAAACTCTTTGAGGAGGTTAACACACTGATAATGACCTATCTTTATCACTCAGGTAAGAAATTATTTGCGGAGTCTGTTTTCCCAGCTGGCTTCTGTATATCTTATTCTGAATATATTTTACATTGGTAGTAGTGGGTAGGTAAGTGTGTAATCTGCAAGGGAACTGATGTTCTGATGGGAACATTCCAATGCTGTGAAAATAAAAAGGACTAGGATTTCTTGTTATGTATTACATACCTGTATTTGTAGTCATGAAAGCTCATTTGCTGGGCTTTTAGTTTGGAAATCAACATCCTCAAAATTTTTAAGAAGATGCCAAAATTAACCTTGAAAGAAAATACATATTGATTATTTATTAGTTCAGATTCCCTCTGGATCTGAAGTTCGGGACTTCGTCAGTTGTGATCCCTCCCTTAGTTTTGGGGCAGTTCTGTTCTCTTTCAGCTTTTTCCTTACACCTTTCAAGTCTCTTCTCTTTATTTATACAGACTGGGGGAAGATGTGCTTGAGAGCAGCCCTGCGCAGAAGGACTTGGGGTCCTGGTGGGCAAGAAGCTGGCCATGAGGCAGCAGTGAGCGCCTGCAGCCCGGAAGGTCAGCTGTGTTGTGGGCTGTATGAAAAAGGGGCGGCCAACAGGAGAGGGAGGTGATCGTCCCCCTCCATCGGCTCCTGTGAGGCCCCATCTGCAGCGCTGCGTCCAGGCCTGGGGCCCCCAGCACAGGAAGGACGTGGAGCTCTGGCAGCGGGTCCAGAGGAGGCACTGAGATGAGCAGAGGGCTGGAGCAGCTCTGTGTGAGGCAAGGCTGAGGGAACTGGGCCTGTTGAGCTTGGGGAAGAGAAGGCTGCAGGGAGACCTCACTGTGGCCTTCCAGTGCTTGAAGGGAGAGTAGAAACAGGAGGGGAATGGTGATAGCATAAGGGGGAATGGATTTAAACTGAGACAGGGGAGGTTTAGGTTGGATATGAGGAGGAAGTTTTTGAGCCAGAGGGTGGTGAGGCACTGGAACAGGTTGCCCAAGGAGGCTGTGGATGCCCCATCCCTGCAGGCATTCGAGGCCAGGCTGGATGTGGCTCTGGGCAGCCCGGGCTGCTGGTTGGCGACCTGCACACAGCAGGGGGGTGGAACTGATGAGCATTGTGGTCATTTTCAACCCAGGCCATTCTATGATTCTATGATTCTTTGATGATTCTATGATATGATTCTTTTCTGGCTCTTCTCTCCACTGCCTTTTGAGAGACAGAGAAAGCTCTGTTGCCCATCAAATGTTTTACTTCTTGATGACTGCTTATTAAGCACTCAGCTTCACAGTCCCAGCTATGTCCCCTTTCTCTCTCATGCTTCTCTCCAGCTCAGTAGAAGCAAAACAGTCCACTGCTTCTTCTCTAAGGTCATAATTGCTACATTTCTACTACAGCATGACAGAAAATTATACCCTTCTTTCCACACACATCAGTTCCTCAGTATCACAGTCTGAGCAGTCCTAGCGTAAGTAAAGTGGACTTCTTCTCTACAATATTTGCTAGACAAATTAGCAGGATGCTGATGAAATCATCTATTTCTCTAATCTTTTCTACGCCTTGTCAACTCTGTGAAAATGTAAGTTGTTCTGGGGACTTACCTAACCCTCACCCATCAGAATTCTGTGTTTGTAACCATATCCTCAGGAACTGTTCTGATCATGCTATCTTCATTACCACCGGATTTCAGGTTTAAACTTCTTTTTGAAAACATATTTTAGTCTTGTTATGCCTTACTACATTTTTTTACATTATTCTGGTGCTTGTTTAGACTAATGCTTTCTTCCTATGACCATCAATATTTTTTGTTGCTATTTCTTTGTATCCTTGCTATTGTACAACATACTCTGTAGTTGCTCACCACGTGGTAGTACTGTCCTAAGTAATCTATTCACTGAATAAAGCATTGTAAAAATACAAGAAGCAGGTACTAGAAGGCACTGTGTTAGTTTGTGCAGAGCACTGCAGAAGTCACTGCACAGATACATAGTTGAGAGCTGACACTGAAAATTTTCTTGCTTACAGATTTATAATGTGAAGCTGTGTGCACTGACAGTGAGTAAGAAAACTCATTTACAATCATTTCTGCCTCATCTCCTCTAATACAACAATTAGATTACATTTATAGGAAGGATTATGGTAGACATAGTTGTGTATGCTATGTAGGATTCTCTGAAAGTAATGCTTCCTATTTATTTCCATGGAAATTACAACAGATATGAAGAGCACTGTAATGCCATTTGATTGTGCAAATTTGCAGCTATGGAACACTTTTTCATGCATCATGGGCCAACATGATAAAATAAGAGATGTTACTTTTGATGCAGCCATCATGCGAGGAACAGATAAAATAGTTCTTACTGTAATGGAAAACAACATCGGTCCTCGAATGATCCACCAGATTCCCATGTGTTCATTTGTTCCCCAGCACCTGCAGCATAATTAAAAAAATATATATATTATTTTCATGGAAACAAATAAGAAAGCTTAAATAACGTATGTACGTATTTCAAAAGAAACTTGACTAAATTTAAACATCTAAGTGGTATTCAAGAGAAATTGAATTAAACTGTGAATAGTATAACAAACAACTGTACATTTTGTGAAGATCTTCCTGCTAGAATTTTGAGAGACGTTTCCGTAGGCTGTAAAGCTCAAAACAATCTGGTGAATTCTGCCTTTGGATCTACACTACAACTGCAAGTGGCACTGAAACTTCACAGCGGGACACATCTTACCCAAATTTAGTCATCTAAAATCATGAACTGGAAAAGGGTAAATCTGAATTGTAACTTCTGAACTAACTAAGAAGTATGCATACAGACTGTGAATGGAACAGAATAGTTTAGTTGGAAAGGGCTTTCAGAGATCAAATCCAACTGCTTGATCGCTTCTGGGCTAAGCAAAAGTTAAAGTATCTTACTGAGTGCATTATCCAAATGCATTGATAGGCATGGGGCACAAACCACACCTCTCAGGAACCTCTTCTACTGCTCGACCACCGTCACAGTTAAAGAAATTTTGCCAAATATCCAGTCTGAAATCCCCACTAACACAGTCACCAGGGAGCAGAGCCCAGCACCTCCCTCTGTTTCTCCTCCTCATGGAGTTGTGGAGAACAATGAGGTCACGCCTTGGCCTCCTTCTCTCCAAAACAGACAACCTAAGTGTCCTCAGCTACTTGAGCTACTTGACATGCCTTCCTTTTACCAGTGTTGTTGCCTTCCTCTTTATGCTTTCAAGAACCTTTATATCCTTTTATACTGTGAAGAACAGAACTGTACACAATATGCAAGGTGAGACTACACCGACACTGAATATAATAGGAGAATTATCTCTGGCTGGCTAAAATGCATTTAATGCACTCCAAAATGCAGTTTGTCCTTTTGGCTGCCAAGGCATACTGTTGGCACGATGCACATTGAGCCTGCTATCGACCAGCACCTCTAGGTCTCTTTCTGCAGGATGTTCTCCAGACATTCATCTCCCAGTCCATTATTGTGTCTGGCATTATTCTGTCTCAGACACAGAGCCTGGCACTTGCTTTTCTTGAACTTCATGACATTGATGATCAACTTATGTAAATCCCTCTGCAAGGCTACTTGTCCCTCCGGAGGGCCAAGAGATCCTCCCATTTTAGACTCATTAGCGCACTCGCTGATGATGCATTGCACTCTTGCATTCAGATCATTGATAAAAATTGAGGTCTGGAGAGCCCTGCTAGTGACTATCACCAAACAGATATAGCCCCATTCAGTACAACACTGTGAGCTCTAGCATTGTGCCAATTCATCACCTAGTGTGTTGTCAACCTGTTTATCTCACAGTTGGACAATTATTCTAGAAGGAAGCCATAAAGAACAGTATCAACAGCCTTACTAAAATCCAGAAAGATGATGTTCACTGCCTTCCCTTCATCCACCAAGCAGAATACTTTATCACAGAAGGAGATGAAGCTACTAAGGTAATAGTTTCACTTATGAATCCATGTGGACTATGCCTGACAATAGCTTTGTCCTTAAGCTGCCTTTCACATCTCCCAGGCTGATCTCCATAGCTTTTCCAGGAATCAAATAATGTGTCCATAGTTTCCTGGGTTTCACACACACTTTTTGTAGATGAGTGTAACATTGGCTGTCGTCCTGTCAGCAGGAAAATGTCTCCTTTTCTCCTCTACACTTCTGATTTGTCCAGTGCACATATTCATTATCTGCTGCTTGATCTAGTGGCTGGCAAAACCCTGCCTAGAGCAGGGGGGTAGAAATGGATGGTCAATGACATCCCTCCCAACCCATAGCCATTTTATCGTTCTATGATTCTTTTTTTTGCCAATTAGCTTGCTGTAAACCTGTGGGACGAGGGCTTGCCATTTAAGGCCTGTATAACCTCTAATTCTATGAGACTGTAATTGTGACTTGGTTCCTGATGTTATTGCCTAATAAGCATATGGTTATTCCAAACAAAACTCTTTAGGAACCACAAATTAAAAAAGAGAATAAAAGAAAATAAATCTCATTTTATGAAATCTATGAAAGAACTATTTATGAAAAACCAAGTCTATGTGACACCAGTAGAAAATTGAAGACCAGAAAAGTGGAAAAATGATAGCTACCAATGCAAGTTACCCTCAGCAATTAATTCACACAGAATGCATTCATTTAAGTTCAACTTTTTGTGAATATCAGATTTTGTCATTATCTACTATAACTAATATTTTTTTCCTGAATGTTAATAAAACTCAAACCAAAGATGGTCTCCAGGGAAAGCACTGGTCTCTTTTTCTTGAAAAGACGCTCTTTTATGGGGAAGATGTTTGTGCAGGAAAATTGCCTCACATGAATGAAAAATAGATACAATAGATACAACAGTTTTCATTTGAGAAACAGTGAATGTTCATTTTCCTTCTTGATTTATGTATAATTGAATCAATGAATTTCCAGTAGTTAAATGTGAAAAGAATAAAATGAACCTTTAAAATCTAGCAAGTCTTATTATGTGCTGTATAATCTTAATGTAATCCAATAGTCAATAGTTTTGCCAGTTACTGTCAAAAGCTTCTGGAAAAAAATAAGCAAACTGAAAACCAGTATTCTAAGATTGTTTAGCCTAGTAACCTACCCTGTGTTCTCCAGTTTCGATCTGCTTATTCCCCAGGGAGCAACAAATAGAATAGGAACAACTGTAAGAAAAAAAGTTATTACAGCCAAGCTTGCAGAATGATTCATACAAAATAAAGACACTACTATGGACCTGGTGCAATATGATTTTCAGCATTCTACTTAGATGTTGTACAAAAATCAACCTCTTCCTGTTTTTTTCCATTTGCACCTCAAAGAAAATAAGAACTTCATTGTATAATTGAATATCACATTTTCAGTGTGCAAATCATATGCACATACATGAATACATAAACACTACTGATCAGCCTAAATTTTCTAAGTCTCTGATGTAGATAAACTAGAAAAAATATGAATACTCCAGCAGAGGCCTCCAAGACTACTGGGACCTGTAGTGCATCATGTAGAAGAGACTGAGAGAACTAAATGTCTTCAGCCTTAAGAAGAAAAGTTTAAGAGGAAGCCTAACTGCTGTCTTCAATACTAACAATAGCAGAAGCACATGGAGCAGGAGGTGCACAGCAAAAGAGTGGTAGAAAGAGCAGTAGCAGGCAACGTTCATATTAGATATAAAGAAAATATTCTTCACAATTAGAGCAACCAAGCATTGAAATGTGCACACAAACGAGAAGTGGCATTTCCATTCCTCCAAATAATCAGAACTCTACTGGTTTGGAGCAAACTCATGTAACTTTGAAGCAGGTGCCGTTTTGAGGAAGGGGCTTAGGACATGGGAAAATTCAATCTTTCCAATGAAACACCAAAAGTGAAAATATTTCAGTCTTATGGTGGTCATTTTCAGTGAAGTTTTGGTGTGGGTTTTTTGTTTGTTTGTTTTATTGATTTTGGGTTTGTTTGTTTGCTTGTTTTTTAAGAAGCAGAGGTTCTTTCTGGAAAACCTTTAATAAAACCTTAGTTTTATTAAAACTAAACAGATTTCCCCACAAAAATATATTTGTCTGGACAGTGCTCACTATGTCTAGCAATGTGATGAAACCAGATGATCTCTACAGTTCTGTTCCTTCTTGTCTTCTTCCTTTAGTTCTGGGAAGAAGGTAGATATTACCCACAGAAATTTAACTTCGTTAGATAAAATGAGTCCCTCTCTCTACCAGATAGACTAACCATAAGATATAGTCTAGTTCAGCATTAGAGATCAATACATACTTTAAAGACCAGTATATTTGTTTAGCAAAAGGAACTGATGTGTGTTAGTTCAGTAAAATTTCCTAGTTTATGCAGAAACCCTGTTTTGAATCTTGATTAAGGAATTGATATTTTTCTACAGGAATGGTTCCCATTTCATAAATATTTGTACATTTATTTAACAAATATATTCATAAACACAGAAAACGTGGCCTTAACTGAAATTCACTTAATTCTAGAAATTATTCCAGAAGGATATTTCATTCTTAGATTCTACCCAATTCCTATTTAAAATATCAAGAGATAGCACAGGTACCAAAAAGAAGTAAAAGGAACTTGTCTCAATTCCCTGTGATTATTACAATCTTGTACAATTTTAGACACCTGGAACTGAATGATGTGAATCACTGTCAAATTGACAAGGAATTTGTAACAACAGTCTTTATAACAGTAAACAAAAATTTCTTTTTAGCATTTTTAAATGTTTTTTTTCCATTCCAACTGCAATTATTATAATTTCAATCTTAATTGACATTTTATTTGTTTTTCTTTGTTTGAATCTAAACAGTTCCTTAAGATTTACCTCTTTATCTTGGGTAAAGATTTTAGTACGCAATAAAGCAGAGAAAATATGGAATAATTTACTTATAATTACATAGTCATCCACTACAGATTAATCCTTTAAAAATAATTTTCCTTAATACGTTTTTTTTTCTTTTTCTTGTTTTAAATATATATATATATATATATATAAGCATATATACATACATTCATATATGCATATACAGATATATATGTATCCTACAGTACTGGATATGCAATTTTACATTTGAGAAAGTAAATTGAATGGTGTGAGTGAGCTAGTAAATCTGTACACAGATAAAAGCTTTATGATAGGCAGATATTCTATTCCATCCACCCTATCATCCTCCTCAGTTCAGTCCATCATCTATGAATCAGTCCTGCACTAAACCTGCCTAAACATTGTCTAAAATCACATTTTTAAATCTTCATAAAAAAACTTTCTAAGAATTGCAAGTTATATGGGTAGATTTTAGATCATTATTGGGAATTAGGAAACCTTGACTTTTCCTTTTGTTCAACCTGTATACAGAATTATGATAAGTGAGCAACAAACATGATTGTCCGATTATGCGCTACTCACATGAACAAAGGAAAAGAGAAAATAATTTACACAACATTGTTAAAATGCTTGTAACTGCCTTTGTGTTGTCTTTCTTCCATGAAAAATGTCTGAAATGCAGGATCTGAATCATGTAGTGTTTTGAACTGTCCTCTAATTTAAAGCACACTTTAGAGCTTCAGCAAAATACATAAAAGCAAAACTCTTAATGTGTAGATATCTTGACCACATAAATGCTCTAATTCAAATGAAGAAATTGAAGGTGCTGATAACGCTTTAATATTCTACGCTGGTAGAGAATATTACCAAATGTAGCAAATTTTCTTCTCATTCTATTAGGCTATTGTTTTCAGGTAAACCAAGATATTACCTCAAATCAAACAGAGCTGCAACTAACATGTCACTTCCAGTATACTTCTATTGAGAAATGTCGGTTTCAGAAAAAAAAGGAAACTTTTTTTTCCTCTTTTCATTACAAAATATTCACTAATGACTTGAAAAAATACCACAGAATCAAGAACTTCGAAATTGTTAGGTACTCACCCCATCCTATCACTATATATGTCTGCAGCAGTCTTCTTTCTGAGAACACAGCAGTAATCAATAACGTATGCAGATAAATTCCTTCTACTAATAGCCAAAAATAATTTGCTCCAACAAAATAGTGCATGAAAAACTGAGCGGTTCTGCAAATGATTAAAATCTGTAGGAATGAAAGACCAGGAACCACTGTAATACATAGAAGTTCTGACAAATCCTAACTTTCCCTGGTTACTTCAGCAATCATTTTAAAACCAGTATGTGGCTGTGATACACATGTATTTCAGTCATATGTACTTCAAGATTCTGAGCTGCTGTTATTTTGGGAGATCTGGACTTTCTGGGAATAGAGGTAAACGTGTGATGCAGTTAGATTGGATTTGTCTCTGCCTTTGGACAAAAAAAGGGCAGAACCAAAGTTCAAAAAGCATTTGGTGAAATGTTGGAATATGAATTGATATTAGGATAGTGTGGAATCAGGAGCTGGACTTGATGATCTGCCATTGCAGAGGAGCTGAAACTAGATGATCTTTAAGAGTTCCTCCAACCCAAGCCACTCTATAGTTCTATGATTCTATGATCCTTGTGGATCCCTGCCAATACAGGATGCACTATGATTCTGAAAACAACTTAGAGTTCATGCCAAGAGTTTATACTTGGGAACAAGGGGAAGCACTGAGGAGTATTACTTTTATTGTTTACTAGAAGATAAGTGCTCCTGGTATACAAGCAGATCAGCAGAATTATTCTGTCTTTCTGAGGCCCCACCTGGAGCACATGCCCAGGTCTGGGGCCCCCAGTAGAAGGATGCAGATCTGTTGGAGTTGGTCCAGAGAATGGCCATGGAAATGGCCATGGAATGGCCATGGAGAGGGGCTGGAGCACCCCTCCTATGGAGAAAGGCTGAGGGAGTTCATCTTGTCCCTTCTGGAGAAGGGAAGGCTTCAAAGAGATCTCACTGAGGCTCTCCAGTGTTTAAAGGGAGATTATAAACAGGAGAGAGACCAATTTTTTTCATGATCTGATAGCAACAGAGCAAGGGCAATGGTTTTAAACTTTAAATGGGGAGATTTAGGTTAGCTACTAAGAGGAAATTCTTCACCCAGAAGTGATGAGGTCCTGGCACTGCTGCCCTGAGAGCTGTGGGTTCCCCATCCTTGCAGATGCCCAAAGGCCATGGATGGGCCTGAGCTGGGCGGAGAGCCAATCCATGGCAGGGATGGGGCTGGGGAGGCTGTGAAGTCCCTTCCAATTCAACCATATGGGATTCTGTGAAAGTAACTCTGCAATGGCTGTTGTGGTCAGTAGTGACTCTGAAAATCTGCACATTTTCCTAGTGCTGAAAAACCTTTGAACTGTTTTCCCCTTCATGTACTTTCACAGTAAATGCGTTGTTTGGAAGCACAGTGTTACATGCAGTATTTGTGTACGTTGCATTTTGCTATGCATACCTAGAATGAATAAATGCAAGAGTTCTTATGTAAGTGCTGAAAAAATGTATTGAATTCTTCCTAAGGCTACAAGCGTGAAAAAACTGTTTTGCTTAAGTAAAAGTGTGTAAACATATCTATAGATTTTTTTTTAGTATGTTTGTTGTTTTTTTAATGAGTGCATTATGATTTATAAACGTTTTTCCAGACTGCCTGAGATTTGAATCTCAACTAACAAACACCTTAAAACTTGGTGCTATGTGGCAAACTTCTGTATTTGTAATTGTTATGGCCACTGGGAGTACACATTTACTATTAGCAACTAAGAAGTTACCTCAGGACTGAGGTATAATATCCATCCAGTTTCATCATTGGGTCTTTTGGAGTAAATCCTGTGGAGTACAGTGTCTTTAATAAGAATGGCTGTGGCACGCAAGATGAAAGATGCAAATAAATTCATATGGATGTAGTTTCTTGTGCAGTGAAGTTTTCTGTGGGGAAGAAAATGTATAAATCCTCTGGAGTATATTTAATCCAAAGAAAGCAACAATAAAAAAATACCATTATAGTCATATTGTTGCCATTGATTGATTTTATACAGGAATTTCCTTCATAACTTACATCAGAAATAAGAAATCCAACTATGCAAAAACAACAATATGCATATTGTGTTTTATATTTAAAAATGCATGCAATTTCATACTAACCTGAGTAAAGAAAGTATAAGGAGAGCTAAGACAAGTGAGATGAGAGAAAGATAATATCCTACGGTGTACAGCAACTGTAGTGTGGTAAGTAATTTATGTTCTTTTTCCTAGGAAAAGAAAAAAAGAAAGAGGAGCTTTGCATATGTATATGCAGGCAGGTAAGTAGGGTATGAATATAAATCAAAAGCTTTTGAGTCCGATTTATTTGTGTTGCAGCATAGCCGGGGCAAATTTCTGATATCTGTTCCCTGCATTTTCTCATGAAAACCTTGTGGGAGACACCCTGGAGAACAGACTAAGTTTCTTCTCAGATTTGAAGGCAGTCAAGGACCCATTTCCAGATTTCTCTTGCACAAATCCAATTTTGAGTCTTAATGACTATTAATCATTAAAACAATCACATAAATGAAACAGATCCTAACGTTTAATAAGTGCAGAGTGAGCTCCACCCCTGCACTGAAATGCAATAGCTGTGTTATCTGGGGAGCCAAGACGCACACTGCTCTTCCGAGCACAATTTTCAGAGGCAATTGTATCTACAGAGTGATTGGAATAGACTGCCTGCTTCTTAATACTACACAGATGTTAAGGAGTTTTATTTGGGCTGGGGTTTGTCTGGCTACCTTTGCTGTTAACTGTGTAACCTTTGCTGTTAACTGTGTGATTTAATCATACAGCCACAGATTATCACACTCTCCTCCTGCCAGCTAATTGTCTCTAAATCAGCCTATGCTAATAAGCACTGTCTGGATAGCAGAGTGAGCTGTGCCTGCTGGTGGAAGCCTTGGAGAGGATGCCCAGAGGCACAGCAGGAGGTTCCCAAGGGATGTTCATTAGTCACTCAGCTCCATGAAAACATTCCAACAAGATGAATTGTATTGGCTGTGACATTTTTTCAAATCTGAAGCAAATGAAATGAAGTTGATTCATCAGATGCGGGTAGATGCAAGTTCTGGGTTATTCCTAACAGCTTGTGGCTTTTGACTAAATATAATTACACGGTATAAACACACATTTAGGCTTGTTTGGAAAGCTGGCTAAAACTTTCAGAGAAACCTCTTGTTCTCTTGCTGCCACACCTGATGAATTAAAGTGGTAGTCCTCCACCCACAACTTTACAATCCAGGATAGTCAACGGGCTGCAGAAAAACAAAGTACTCCAAGTTTATCACACTTGAATAAACTGTGAGGTTGGAAAACCATATATTCACTGTATAAAGAATTTATTAAGGTCTTGGTAATCCTGAAATAATCTTGCTTAATAAATAATACACGATCAATAAATTACTAATAAAAATAAAATCAATAAAGTAATAAACATTAGTATCATTTACCAAAGTGACAAAAGCTAAATTAATAAAGTGTTCAGTAGTAATACTGCTCTCCAAACAGACTTCATTTTGAGATCAGCAAGCCAAACAGTGCGGCAAAAGAAGTTACAAGAAGCTGAAACCCGTTCAGTCACATGCTTTACTGTTATCTGAAACTGTTGCATTCATTGCCAGGCATTGCGTAGCTGGGCAATGTGGCAAGGCATCAGGATCCCTGGTTTCCAGCTTGAACTGCTATGCTAAAAGGCTCAGGAGGTCACAGGGGTTGGGAGTCTGGCTTTGGCCGACTTCCAGTCCTCTGAGCTATTTGCTAGACAAGTTGCAGGCTTTTCATTTCAATTTTATTAGGAGGGATTCAGTACATGTGAATGCTGGACTCTAAACAGAAAACAATTTCTCTAATCTAAAGCTAGAATCTCCTTCCTTAATCTTTCTTCCTCTACTTCTTCTTAGCAGTTTTCAATTTGGTAATCCAAATGAAATCTGAACATCTTTTGCAGGTATTCAACCGAAATATTTTATCAGTTATTCAAGAAGGGATTACGAAGATTAAAGGATTAAACCATGGTATAAAACATCATGCTTACATTTTTTTGTAGATTATTTTTCTCAGAACATTCTGAACTGTCACGCCAAATGTCTGTGGAGTTTTCCTTCGTTTGCCAAGTTCCTTCATCTAAGCAGACTCTGTATACATTTCCTGCACTTCCTGAAAGTAAATAGAGTTTAGTCTTACAAGTAAAAATAAAGATTTCATTTTTCATGAACATTCTAAGGATTTCTCTTTACACTATAGCAATAAACCTTTGCTCAAATGCAGACAAAACAAACAACAACAACAAAAAACAATAAACAAAAACAAAAAAACCCAACAACAATCAAAACAAAAAAAACACCCACATCTTTTATTTTGTCTTTGACAATATATTTTTCACATTTGTGTAGAAGAAAGTAGGGAAGATAGTCAGTGTCACCTCAGTCTTCAAAAAGGGCAAGAAGAAGGATCTGGGAAATTACATGCCAGTTAGCTTCAATTCTGTCCCTGGAGAGGTGATGGAGCTACTTGTTCTTGGTGCCATCTCCAAGAAATTAGAAGAGAAGAAAGTTATCAGGAGTAGTTAATGTGGATTCACCAAGGGGTAATCATGCTTGACCAATGGGGAGGGAGCAGTGCATTTTGTGTATCTTGACTTGAGCGAGGTGTTTGACACCATCTCCCGCAACATCCTTGTTGTGAAACAAGGTGTAGGATAGGTGAGTGGATGGTGAGGTGGACTGAGATCTGGCTGAATGGCAGAGCTCGGAGAGTAATGACCAGTGACTCAGAGTCTAGTTGGAGGCCTTTATCTAGTATTCCCTAGGGGACAGTGCTGGGTCAAGTCTTCCCTCAATATCTTCATCAACGACCCAGGAGAAAGGACAGTGTCCACCGTCAGCATGTTCTGATGGGAGTAGCTGGGAGGAGTGGCTGATACACTGGACAGACTAGAGTGTTGGGCAGAGAGGAACCTTATGAGGTTCAAAAAGTGAAGAGGGCACATGAAGTGTCCTACACCTGAGGAGGAATAACCACATGCATCAGTACAGGACAGGTGCTGACCTGCTGGAAAGGTGCTCTGCAGAGAAGGACCTAGAGATTCTGGTGACCGTCAGAGTGACCATGAGCCAACAATGTGCCCTTGAGGCCAAGAAGGCCAGTGATGTATAGTGCATTACAAAGAGTGTGGCCAGTAGGGTGAGGGAGGTTCTCCCCTCTGCTTTGCTCTGGTGAGATCACATCTGGAGTGTCATGTCCAGTTCTGGGTTCCTCAGCTCAAGGTTAGCAGGGAAAGATGGCCAGGGACTAGAGCATCTCCCTTATGAGGAAAGGCTGAGAGACCTGGGGCTGTTCAGTCTGGAGAAGAGACAGCTAAGAGGGGATATCATAACAGTTGCCATACAGCAGCAACCACCAGAATATCTAATTTTACTTTGAATGACTAGAACTGAGAGAACTGTTTTTGGAGCACAGTTTGCTGTGAAGGCGCAGGAGCTTTGTGTGATGATTGCCTGTTCATTTTCAGTGCACATTTTATTGTCCAACATGTAGTGGAATTCTAACAGATTCCCCAAGCAGGAAATGACCTCCATGTTTACGAGTACTCTGGCATACTGTACAGAGATGGAGACTCTTTAAGGACATGATTTATGTAGTATGACAAATATCTCTTTAAAAAGCAAAAGCATATCAGAGAAGAAAAAGTTCCTGTCTAGGACAAAAAGCTAAGGGATCCCAGAAGTTCATGGCAGATCAGGTCAGGAGGGATCTTAGGGTTTATGTTATTTAGAGAATCACCTTCCTAAGCTTTCATTCAGAAATTGCCATGTTGCAGTGTGGTCCCACTTCATTGCTAGGCTAGCTCTAGAGGCAATAAACTGACCAATGCCAGATACAAAGTGGGAGAGAGGAAATAATGCTTTGTGAGCTCTTCTGTATTAGCATTAGGGAGAATTTTGGCAACGCTTTGTATATTCTAATCTTCAGAAAGGCCATGCAGGAGCCTGACTGTGAGGATGGGCCTTGGGATTCTAGAGCCAGGAAAAGGGGCTAAAATTTATGCGGACGTTAACTGGAGCAGATACTTAATCACTGAATAAAAATAAGGAGTTCCTATGAAATGTGGTCCAAAATCTTAGTTCTATAGTACTCTAGTTTTCTAGTGAAATGATACCAAATCATAAAAAAATCTATCTCAAGCCCACAAGCATTTTTGGTTCAAGTCCAAGTTGTGTTCCAGGATAACCACAGCTGTACCTTGAAAACGTGAAGAGGAGAAGAGAGGACCACAGGTAACCCCAGATCCACAGAACTACCAGGACAGACAGCAGGGCTGTCTCAGTGACACTCCTCCTAAGACACTGGGGCATTCCAACCTAAGTCTAATCAGTATTAGTATTTCCCATTGCAATTACAGTGGAAAGCTTCATGATATGATGCAATGTCTTACAGGTTGTTTTTGTAGAAATTCAGACAGAAAAAGACAAAAAAGGAAAAAAAAAAAAAAAAAAAGGAGTCTCAATTACAGGGAGGGAAGTAAGACGCTGCCATGTTTATTTCGAACAGCTGAATTTGTTACAAGTGGTTGGAAGAAGCAGGTATTTGAGAGAATAGATAAAGGTTGGTTTCTCTGCTTTGGAGCTCAACAGCCCCAGAAAAGACAGATGATGACATTTTTGATTAAATCTTTTGTGGGGTGGACTGGAGAAAGCTAAGATAAGCAGCCCATGGTAGATTCCCAACCAAAAAACTCAAGCACAATTGGTTCTTCTAAGAGGTATTACAAATATGACTACAAAAACTATATGTAGCTAAGAAAAACTAAGCAGGATTCAGAATCACTAGACTGTGCTGGTAAGAATGCTTTTGGATTTCTTTTGTAGAAAAGGAAGGCTTTCAGATGGCTTCGCTCCTGCAGATGTTACTATTTTTCCCTTCCAGGAGGGCCTTCCTGCTCCACTCTGTCCAGCACAGCACAGCTTGGAAAACCCTTTTGTTCAATGCACCACTCGCTGTTGGTGCAGCACCTTGCACTGGAGGGCAGACTGCTCAGACCCATTAGACTGTCTCTTCCATTCCAGTGCTTAATCTCTTGGATCAGTAGGCATCCCAGAAGCTGAACCCCAAATCTGTTACTGCCAATCAAGGCCTGACTGTACAGTTATACATTCTTCTTGCTTTTGCTGGAAATTTTGCTGGAAATTTTGCTTTGGCAGCGCAGAGATGAAGCACAAAACTCCATCAGTGGTAAACAAGGGTAAAAAAATGTAAATAACTAAATATTGCTTGTAATTCTGTGTGTCAAGTTAGAAAAGAGTTGAAATGAAGACACGGGTCACAAAATAGACCAGAAATATTTGTCATGTGTCTGGATTGCCAGCGTAAACTCTAAGAAAAATTACAACTTTTACATTACCATTTTCCAACCATGGCAAATACAAAGGACAAGGAACAGATACTTTTCCTGGGGTTGAGTATGGCCAGCAAACAAACTGATCAAAAGTCCCATTACAATGTATCCCTGGGGAGAGAAGTGAATAGATGTTTTACAAAAAATGTTTCAAACAATGGATGATCATGAAAAACATCGTGTACCATTTTAAGTAACCTGCAAGCATGTGGGTTCATTCAGTGTGGAGTAAATATCAATCCTATCATATGGAAACAACATACAATCACTTGTGCTCTGGCATGAGAAGAGTATTTAGAAAATGTAACAGACTTCATGCATTCATTGCACCATGTTTGTTGAACAGGGCAGAAATAGCTACTGTTCTTTTTGCCTTGAGTACACATAAGCAACATGTTTCACGCGCTTTACCATGAGCTAGTAGTGTTGTAGAAAATCATCCCAAGACCTCTGTTTTCTAAATGTAACAGCTTCCAGCCGTGCTCTCAGTTGCTGTACATCAAAGACTGCTGACAAATAGAAAATATTCCACTTTTCATGACCCCTGTGACACCAGTTCTCAGCTCAGATAATCATCATCTTCTCTGGTAGTGACTTCTATTGCTCTCTCAGTAATAATGGATTGGGAGCTGGCAGCCTATCAGATCAACTCCATCAGTTTTAATCTTCACAGATACCACATCACTCACAGGACATAAAGAGCAGACAAAACACTTCAAACTGCACTTCAACACTGCTGGCTGTACTAGTTTCTGGGTTTTCTAGTTTTCAGTCTTTCTGTCATTTTTTAGGAGAAGTTAAAGTTCTCATCTCTGAGCTTCACATCTTTCTGTCCATTGGAGGCAGAAGAATATATCCTGCTTTGTTTTCCATAATGATCAGCAATTCTTTGATGATCTTGGTGGGAAGAAGAAACAAGGATAGTTGTGTACTTTCTCACTGGAATCTTTTCGGGGTGCTTTTGCTAAAACACATGGACAATTGTTAATGATTTTGCTATACCTTTGAGCTCCATCTGCCTTATGACCCACACAGTTGTTAACATTTATAGACGCATTCTTATTATTCCTTTCCCTCATATCTCATCAGAGGTACAGAATTCAGGTAGTTGTGACAAGTATGTATTATGTAGGCTGACAGGAGAAAAATAGTTTTTACATTATTCCTTGAAAACTGGACTTGTGAGTATGTATAGTTCTTTTACAAACCACTGTCTTCCGACATCTTGCTATGTGTCACTGCTTTTTGGCTTCCTGTGTCATTTGGATTGTTTGCAATTGCCACTTCCCACCACAACACACTCTGCTTTTGCATTTTGCTAAGAGCTGTATCTGACAAAAGCCACAATCAGGTCGAGAGCTTGTGGGTAAAAATCAAGGATCAGTCCGATAAAGGGCATCTAGTGGTTGGGGTCTGCTACAGGCCACCTGATAAGGAGGAGCCTGCTGACAAGGCCTTCTTGCTTCAGCTGCAGGAGGTGTGACACTCGTGGGCTCTTGTCCTATTGGGGGATTTCAATCACCCCAGATATCTGCTGAGAGAGCGGCATAGTGGGTGGCAGACAATCCAAGAGATTCCTGGAGTCTGTTAAGGATAACCTCCTGGTCCAGGTAATAGATGGGCCAACCCGAGGTGAAGCCTTACTGGACCTGGTGCTCACTAATGCAAAGGAGAGCATTAGAGAGGTTAAGACTGGAGGCAGCCTGGGCTGTAGTGACCATGCCTCTACGGATTTTCTGATCTTGAAGAATGCGGGCCTGGCAAAAAGCAGAGTTAGTCTCCTGTGCTTCAGGAGAGCAAAATTCCGGCTGCTCAAGGAACTGCTGAGTGGGATCCCCTGGGAAACTGTCCTTAAGGGATGGGCACAGAGCAGAGATGGCAGCTCTTTAAGGGCACACTTCTGAGAGCACAACGGCTCTCCATCCTCCAGCAGAAGTTGAGCAGGGAAGGCGGGTGACTGTCATGGCTGTGCAAGGACCTGCAGCTTAACCTGAGAGAAAAGAGGGAAATGTACAGAAGGTGGAAGAATGTGTATCCTTGGAGGAATACAGGGCTGTTCTCCATGTGTGTAGAGATAGGATTAGGAAAGCCAAGGCGCAGATGGAGCTGAACTTGGCAAGAGATGTGAAAGATAACAAGAAGGGGTTCTACAGGTACACAGGCAGGAGGAGACAGGCCAAGGAGAGCGTTCCTTCTCCCTCTGGTGAAAGGTAACAGGGAGCTGACTTCCTCAGACGTAGAAAAAGCTGAGGTACTCAATGAGTGCTTTGCCTCAGTCTTCATGGGTGATCAGGCTTCCCATGTCTGCCAGGACCGTGAGTCTCTAGGTAAGAGTGTGGGGAGTAGTTTCTGTCCCACTGTAATGGTGGAGCAAGTTCTCCTTATGAAACTGAACACATTCAAGTTTATGGGGCCAGATGATATCCATCCTAGGGTTCTGAAAGAGGTAGAAGCCTGATGTGGTTGCCGAGCCGCTCTCCATCATATTTGAAAAATCATGGCTGTCTGGTAAAGTCCCCGGTGACTGGAAAAAGGAAATATTACTCCAATTTCTAAAAGAGGTAGAAAGGAAGACCTGGGGAACTACAGGCCGGTGAACCTCACCTCTGTGCCTGGGAAGATCATGGAGCAGATCCTCCTGGAAGCTGTGTTAAGGCACATGAGACAAGTGATTTGAGACAGCCAGCATGGCTGTACCAAGGACAGATCGTGCCTGACCGATGTGGCGGCCTTCTATGATGCAGTGACGGCATTGGTGGATGGGGGAAGAGCAGTGGATGTCATTACCTGGATTTCTGCAAGGCCTTGGGCATGATCCCTCGCCACATCCTGCTCTCTAACTTGGAGAGTTGCAGATTTGAAGGATGGGCTGTTGGATGGGTAAGGAATTGGCCGGCTGGTCGCAGCCAAAGGGCTGTGATCAATGGCTCTCTGTCATGGTGCAGGCTGGGCACAAGCAGTGTCCCTCAAGGGTCGGTGTTGGGACAGTTGCTCTTCAACATCTTCATCAATGACAGACAATGGCATCCAGTGCACCTCAGCAAGTTTGTGATGACACCAAGCTGAGCAGTGCAGTCGAAACACTGGAGGGAAGGGAAGCCATCCAGAGGGACCTGGACAAGCTGGAGAAGTGGGCCCATGGGAACCCAATGGGGTTCAGTAAGGCCAGGTGCAGGGTGCTGCCATTGGGTGGGGGCAATGCCAGGTATTGATACAGACTGGGGGAAGATGTGGTTGAGAGCAGCCCTGCGCAGAAGGACTTGGGGTCCTGGTGGGTGAGAAGCTGGCCATGAGGCAGCAGTGAGCGCCTGCAGCCCGGAAGGCCAGCTGTGTTCTGGGCTGCATTAAAAATACAGAAGCAGTTCTGTGAAAAGAGATAAACCCCAGTTGCTTTGCCTCCTTTGTTTTGTGTTTTTGTCCACCATGGCTCAGTTTCTAAAGGAGGAATGGGAGTCATCTTCTTTTCCTTTAATGACACATTATCTTATGCTTAGTGAAATTTCCAGAAATAATTGCTTGTCTTCCTTCAGGCTGAAAAAGGGAGTGAACACAGGTCTCCTTCATCCAAAGGACCTCTCAGCTAGTAGTCTGTAGTCTGTGATGTATCACAGCAGTAGCTCAGGACCAGCTGTTCTATGGCTTGTTTCAATATAAAGTAGCTGAGGACAAAGGCAGCCATTTACTTAATGACTGCGTATTTGTAGGTCTAGTTACAAAACTGGCTGTTTACATTTAAAACTTAAGAGTCACACACTTCTGTGAATCAAATAACATTATATGAATATTTGCATTTTTAGCTATGCTGCTTAACATATCTTTATTTGCTGTTTGTACACTTACCAGTACCTACAGTTGTTTCCTGTAGCATTTTCAGGCATTCCTGTTTGTATTTGTTCCATCCAGTAGTTGTTTTTTCCAGCACAGATCCTTTGGCCTGTGAGTAAAAAAAGTCTTACATGGAGAAAACCAGCTAGTCTAGTGGTCTTTTAGAGGACAAGTTTCCATCAACTAACAAATTTAAGAGGTGAGGAGAGGAGCAAGGAAGCAAGGAGCAGAATGGAGGCAAGTTAGGTAGGCAGGGAGAAAAAGACCTCTCTTCCCTGGGAGGAAGCTTCTACAGTCATTTCATTCCAAGGTCAGCTAATTGTTCTCATGTATTTACATTTCTTCTTCTGCTGGATTAACTTAGGAATTTGATTGATAACAACTTTGTGGGCTGTTTATTTTTATAGTATTTTTGAAGATAATCAAGCTTACTTGATTGAATACTTCAGTAATAATTTGAATAGAAGTGAAATGAATAAACAGTAATATTTAGCTATTGTTGTCTCTTCCCCACTTCATTCTGCACTCCATTTCAGCAACAGAAAGGCCACTTCTTCCTCTAATACAGCAAACATGCCATAAATGCATTTCTATTCCTCTGCTTTCTGGAGAACTTACAATCATTCATTCTACTTATTCTTGCTTGTCTCCACTAACACTGTGTTGTTTTTGCCTGGGCAGGGGACAGTTTTACAAAATGAAATGGAGTATGAATGCTTATTTTTATCCATAAAAGAGTTTTCTCCATTTAAAACATCTCATAGAAATGAATATTTCTTTTTTTCATATTAGATATTTTCAAACCTGGAAGCTTGGATCTTCCTGTTGCAGTTATCATTAGGGAGAGATCAAAAAGGCCTTTAAATTCTGAAAAACTAGATTTCTGAAGAATACAATCTAGAATAACTGCTTTGATCTTATCTGCTCAAAGAGAATACAACTAAAAGCACTACAAAAAACAATCTCTCTTTTATTAATGCAGTGCAGTACAGGCTTGACTTCAGATTTATGCAGTTTGATGACAGCAGATTCTTTGGAGTGCCTGAAAAATCAATTCTCCTCTCAGCTGCTCCCTGCAGAGTTGCATTTATAAGATATGCACAGCACTGCAACTGCAGAAATACATAGATCGGAAAAGATCTTCAAGATCAAGCTTTTCAAATGGCTATTCACCCTTTCTGTGAAGAAACTGGTTGGCAATCCTGCACATAGCTGATCATAGCTGAGAACATATAGCTGAAACTAGATGATCATTATGGTCCTTTTCAACCCAGGCCATTCTGTGATTCAATGATTCTATGACATTGGCTTTCTTGGCCATCTGGGCACACTACTGGCTCACATTCAGCTGGCTGTTGATCAATAACCCTGGAACCTGAGATGCACCAGAAAACTGATACAGAGAAAAAAAGAGACCTAGCTGTTATCTTCAAAGGGTGAAATTTGAGATGTAGATATATAGTTGCTAGTAAAGAGAAGAAGAAAAAAAAAAGCTAAGATAAAATCTGCTATAAATTAAAAGCTACATTAAAAAAAAAGTAGTAATTCCCAGTGACAAACAGATGCTAATAATGATTTCACATGAAGTGACTGCTGCACTGAGGATGAGGTGGGCATCTGGCAAAAATCTTGTTAATGTAAGAATTGTTGTTATCCTGAGAGGACTTGTAATTTTAACTTTTTCTCTTTAAATATCTGTCTTTCTGATTCATCTTATTCATACAATGCTCTCCTACTGCAGAGGCCTTCAGAGAGCTACTTGATAAATGCTGTTTGGGAAAGGAATGGGTAAAACAGAAGAGCTAAATGCAAAATTGCTTTGCATCCTATCAGATTTGGGCTGTTTAAGTAATGCCCAACTAGTACAATAGCAGTAGAGAAAGAATATTGCTTGCAGCTCAGTATCAGTATGATACTTTGATCATTATTTATCCAGTGTAAGAAACGTTAGTCAAAGCAATCTCTGTATAATATGCCATTTGGTCTTCTGAACACCGGGGCTTTCAGAAGCCAGAGGCAGGCAAGTAGTCCAAGAACAATGTCAGTGTGTGTCACCAAAACAGAACAATTCATTACTGGATGAAAATGTTACATACTCTAATGACAAAATTGGGAAGACAATCCAAACAAAAGTTAAAAAAAATAATAATAATTCTTGCACCAAATAATTTTCAGCTCCCCAGGGAAAATCCATTTTCTTTCACCTGGATTAGACCCTATTCAGAAAGCACCTTTCACATGTGTACAGTGGTACTTGTCTGAGCCAGATAATGTGCTAAGAGCTGAAATAAACCAGGGTGCCCTATGGTGTGAACTTCACCTGTAAGCTATTTTTTGAACACAAGTTTACCAAAAAGCAAAAAAAAGTAGTATTTATGCATGTTCAAAACAGAACAACAGTGAATGTTATCTAGTTGTTTTTGAAACCACCCATTCTTGCATGGTTTGGCTGTGCAAGATGTTGTTTGCTCACTGCTCTGCTTTGAGACTCTCAACTAATTTCCAGACGCCCTACTTTAAATTCCAGGCAGCAGAAAGTCTATAATTTTTCTTCATCTGATGGGCTTGCAAGATAAGGAGAGAATATTTACAGCAGCCATGAGAAAAGAATGCATGTTTCCAAAATACAAATCTTCTTGACATTTCCCTCATCTGGGCCTCAAAATGCTGAGAGCCAGGGGAGATTCTTCAGATACTCCTTGGTCAGTGAACCTCATTTAAAGAAGCAAAAGATATGATGACGCACTTGTAGAAAGGACTGCTTGATTTAAGGATAGCACTTCTGTTTCTAATAAACAAATGCATTAAACAGCTAAAGAAACACAGAGAAAGCCTCATGTTGACTACCTGGCTGCTTGTTTGGTTCATTTTCTGGAGAAATTGCTGAGAGTCATCCATGAAGAATTTTAGTTAACAAGAATGAGGAGCACTCCAGGTACAAATGACAATTTCACTTCTTTCTGGAATTGTCAGTCTCTGCAGAGTAGAGCCTGTGAACACTTCAGTTCATTTCACTTCAGTTCATTGACACTGAAATGTTACCAAACCTTCCTGGAGAGGTCTTTCCATTCCAAACATTCGTTTGGTTCGCTCAGGTGCACAAAGCTGCACAAAGATGACCCCACTGTTTAAAAATACGTTGGATGCAGTAGATGGCACTGCTAAAAGTTCCCCTCTAAGAAGTAGGTTATTATAATAGACCTCCAAGTTTGCAAACAGAATAATTGTAATCTACCTATTATTTTCATAAATGACTACTGTATCTCTCTATCTCTTTAATTTCTTTAAACTGTAATGACACAGAAGTCACAGGGAGATTTTCAGTTAACACTGACTGGCGCTTTGTTTGAGGCATCCTTTGGATTCAAGGACTCTCAGAAAACGGAGATCTGCATCAGTGCATCAGTTCTCTATCCATTTACATGAGAGAAGCTCTAGATTCAGAATATGTGTCTCTTGGTATTTTTTTTTTTTTTTTAAGAAAAACAGAAAAAAAAGAGCAAAATTTCAATATTTACAGCACATTCACACATAATTGTAGCACAAGTGGTTAGAAGTAACAATTTCAGTGTAAAGTAAACCTGTTCAGTTGTGCTCATTGCCTTGTATACTTCTTTCACAGATTATTTCCCTAAATTTGCATATGATTTTTATTTGGATGAATTGGAATTAACTTCAACACATTAATATATGTATCAGTTTAATTTACTGAAATAAAGGTATATATTCATAAATAAATAAATAAAATGGGAAGAAAAAAAAAAGAAGAAGAAAATTTCCCTGAGGAGATTAACACTGAGGTATTCTGTCCTTAAATTCTGAGAACTCTCACAAATTTCAAGACAGTACAGATGAGGAAGAAAGCTTTTAATTTTTCATACATTTAGAATAAGAAAGAAATGACTATTTTGCTAGAGCACTCCAAGAATTAGAAGTAACAATACTAAATAGTTTTGCTAGCCTGATGTTAGAAGTTGAGTTGCAGAACAAAACCAGTAACATCAGCTTTCACAAATATGAGAAGCAATGCCTTCACTTTGTATATTTCTAAAAGGCTAAATGATAGCACATTTATGTAAAATGTAAATTAAATAAAAAATTTAAAAAATGTAAATTAAACAACATTGGGATTAGAATATGACTGGAAACAACAGTAGAAAATAAAGAATTTTCACAACAGTATTGATATATTGGTAGAAAACTCAAAAAATAAAACTAGTTTAATAATCAATGTCATTATGAAAATATACTGCAAAAATAAATGCAAACATGGTTTATTCACTGTATGAACCAGCTTTTATAGAGTAAAATTGTAATATATCATCTACTCTGAGTGAGTTATAACACGTAATTCTATTGTTTCTCAGACAATGTTTCTTCTTATAACTAATTTTAAAAACATTAGTTGTCATGTCAAATGTTTTTGAAACAAACATGCAGGGAAGGTTAAAATGCTGTGTGATATATATTCACTTTTATATTGATAATTATTAATTATGGAATTGGCTTACCTGTTTCACTATAAATAATATCATGACTGAGCTGGCAGGTATGGGAGATATTCCGGACCAGATCCGCATGCTGGAGCAGAGACCAAAAAGTGTAATCATGCCCATTTTAATAAATTTGTTTCCAGTATGCTGCTGTATCACTGTACAATAGACCAGTTGTATCACTTGTTCCTGTAACAGACTTAAAGCTGTTAAAACAAGTTAAAGCTGTCTTCTTTTATTCTTCTGTTTCAAGAATCTTCTTAGATATAAACCAGGAAGCCTACTAAAATGTCTAGACTTGATGGTCTCCAGCTATGTCTTGTTTTTTTATTTTTTTTTCTGATTAAAGTCACAGAGAATTTACTCTAAACTTCACATGAAGTCTGTTTACTGTAGCTTGTTTTTTAGCCAATAAGAAATCACAAAACTATTAAAACATTAAGAAGCTGATCCTATTCCCTTGAAACTTCATGGGAATTTTGCCAGTGACTTTGTGAGAATGTAATACAGTTCCTAAATATATACATATGTTTATGCACACCTCATGAAACTATAAAAGGGTGACCTAGAATGTAGAAAATCCGTAAAAGCTTGCTGAATCAAGTAGGTTGGTATGAAGAAGCTCGGTCTCAGTAACAGGCATTTTGATCCACCCTAATCAATACTTTGTCAAACACGCACAGTCAGTGCAGGATCAAGGCCAGTCAAAATGTATAAAAACTGACGTAGTCAGCAGTTAAAGTTTTACAATAATTCTTTTCATATTCAGTGTATATGATACACAAATGTAGGAAATTAAAAATATTTGCAATACAAAGATTTTAGGGCCTAGCTTCTACTTTCCACAGCATGGAGACTCAGGTGGATGTGTCCTTCTGCACTTCCAAGAGAAATTAGACATGCAGTTATTTGCATAGAAGTTCTCCCTGAATTCATGGGTATCCCCTCCAGCTCAGCCAGATAAGGGACAGAGATGCACCACTGAGATTGTAGAACCAGTGGCAACTTGGTTTTCATTGCCATGCATAGGCTTAAAGCAAACTGCAGTGCACTGTTTCAATCTATTCAGTAGCATGTCTTACTCTCTCCCTGCCCAAGATTTGGCCTAGATGAATGAAAAAATAGAAGGGCATGATGTATAACCGTATCTCATCTTTACTTGAGGCTTGGATGTGGTACAGAAATTTTCTGGGAACAAAATACAAAAGTGCTCTGGAGACAAGCATTTCAGGGTTGAAATGGACCCACCCCACCCTCAAGAGGTGTGTCAGAAAGGACATGAACTGCCTTCATTGTCTTGTCTGGGGCCAGGGATTGTTCTCCTGAGCACACATCCTCCCCAAGCCACACCTACAGGCAATTCTGAGGACTAAGGAGAGGCATCTATAAACCCCTGTCACAATTGCTCAGCTGCGTATTATTACAAGGGATAAATACAAATTTTCTCATTGCTGTGTAAGATCAGCTCTGCGGTAGGCTACAGACAGCAAACCCAAACAGTGCTCTGGCGTTGGAGCTCTTTTGAGACCACCATAAGAAATGTCTCAGTGCTAAAGATATCCTGGGCTTGCCTGGGCTGCACGGAGTGATGAGGAATTGTCTTAGGCAGTATCTGTGTATGTCTCTGTGAAAGTAATTCTTCCTACTTATTTTCATGGAAACTGAAACAATGAGCACGGTAACTCTAAAAAAGCAAACTCTCAGCTACAAAACACTGTTTTTCAACAGTCTCTACCGTTGGCTGTGCATTTTCACCAACAGTGAACAAGAGCCTGCACATGTCACTGTCACATCATCATTGAATGATAACTGCTAATATACAGGAGAGGAAGCCACCTGACAAGCAACCTTGTTCATATCTTTCAGCTTAGCCATTCAACAGTGAATATTAAAAAGTCTGCAAGGCCAAGGAGTGGAAAACCTTAGGTCTTAGACTGTACTGTAAATGTGCTCAAGAAGCTTTGCTGAATGTGCATCAATCCCATAGCACTACTTAAAGTGGAAATCCTCTGACAGTAGGATTAAACAAATGGTGTATGAGGATGCACTTCCACCTCTGCCTGCAAACCGAGTGAGGACTAGGCACTTGTGCAGCGTTCTTCAGGGACTGCTCCTCATTCCTTTCAGCACAAATGGTGGGAAATGCTGTAGTGCTGTGAAATTCTCTCATCTCCTTAAGTATTTCTGTAAGATTGACTGCTGTATTCAATTTAATTCAATGCTCTGTGTTACAGGAGCATTTGGAACTGCAAGATTAATTTTATTTATTTATTAGGTGATAAATGTAGAGGCTTCATCAGTTTGACTCCTCATGCTGATTGAGATAGCGAGTGTATTTTGTTTCTTTAAATATTTTGTTTTTCTGATTACATACCAGTATGCTTTACAGGCTGCCCAGTGAGGCTGTGGATTCTCCTTCTCTGAAGATATTGCAGACCCGCCTGGATGCTGAGCTGTGCATACTGCTGTAGGGAGCCTGCTTTGCAGGGGCATTGGACTCAATAACTTTAGAGGTCCCTTCCAAACCCTACTTCTAATTCTGTGACTCTGATTCTGAGATGCTTCTTATACTTCTGTATTCTTTGTGCCTTTAGTCCTGTGACTGTTGGGCCAAATTATAATTCATTATCTCTTCTCCTCGTATTTCTTTCACAAGATGCTAGTACAAACCAGCACTGCCCTAAATCTTTAATCTCTCCTACCACATGATTTCTGATTACGCCTCTGTCTCTGCTTTCTGCCTTAACTGCTAAGCTGGTGCAGTTCACTGAGAGGAGTGAAGATCAAGATAGTAAATACAGGCAGGTGTTTCACAAGGCAGATATATATGTAGCTTTGTAAATGGTTGTTTCAGAACAGATACGGCAGTCCCAGAGGATGCCAGTTTCAGCCCCAGGCACAGACAGATGGCAGAGAGCCTCAGCAGCATTTTTTCTCGGTTTTCTCTCTTTAGTTTTCTCTCTTACAGCATTCAGTAGCAATTACTGGTGTGAAGGGACAAGAAAAGTTGCCAAACCTTTCTGCATAGGACAGGCCAAAGGGGATAACTGCATCCGCTTTAATAGCCCTGATGCCAACAACAGCAATGCTGTGCAATATATCTGGGAGATGGGAGACGACAAGTTTGTTGACCGAAAGTTTCATGCTGGGATTTGGTATTCATGTGAAGAAATTATAAATGGGGAAGGTGAGTAAAAGCACATAAACTTACTTTAGAAAATACTCAGAGTTTTTTTCTACTTATTTGATGTCAATTTCCTCTTTGCTGCAATATCATGTATGTATTTTAAAAGAAAAAGTAGCCTTTAAAAGTTTATCTTCTCCAGGAAAGAGAATCTTAGAGGATACTCCCTAGTCAATTTCTAAAAAAATTCTAATAAATTCTGTGAAGAATTTTGAAGTGACAGAGATAGTGCAGATCAAGGTTTGTTTATTTTTTTTTTCACTCATAACAGGGAAGTGTTTAATTTTCTGATGTTGTTACTCTGTTAGGCAAAAATAATCCCCATCATGGATGGGCCAGGATCTTTTCAATGTTGTACAATGACAGAACAAGTGGCAATGGGAACAAACTGCAACACAGCGAGTTCCAAACAAATACGAGGAAGAAGTTCTTTGCAGCGAGGGTGGGAGAGCCCTGGAACTGGCTTCCCAGAGAGCTGGTGGAGTTCTCTACTCTGGAGATGCTCACCTGGGTGCCTACCTGAGCAAGCTGCTGCAGGGAACATGTTTTAGGGGATATTGAACTAGACTGTCTGCAGAGGCCCAATACAAACCCTACAGTTCTGTAGGTTATATTTGCCTTGAATGATTGCCCCGTAGGAACATAAAAACCGTAGCATGCATTTTTAAAGATATTTAGATGTTCATTTTACCAGTTAAATCTGAGACTAAGGTTTTTTCATGGATTTCCTCTTAAGTACAGGCACTCTTACTTTCTTACTGTGATCTCACAATACATAAACCAAAGCAGAATAGTATTATTTTTCACCCTCCTAAAAAAGAATTTGGAATTCATGAATCCTGAGCTCTGGCATCTAACTGTGTTTTACTCTGACTACATAAGTATCAGTAGAATGGGAAGAAATTGCTGTGTAAGAGAACCTCTAATTAATTTTGGATCTTTGTATATGGGAACTGTTTAACTGATTCAAGAAATAGGGTTTATATTGTGAATTTAGGTTGAAGTTAAATTTTTCTTATTGTGTAGGAGTGCCAAATTGAACAAAACTATTCAATCAAGGAATCAAGTCAGCTGTCATCTGCAACAAAATACAAGTATTTTAGAAGTTGTATGTTCTGAGGAGTGAGTTCTGCCAAAAGATCTTGTATATTACGCAATTTCAAGGGGCTAAATGGCAAAGATCAGAGCAAAAAGCATCTCTCACTCAAAAGAAAACAACAAAAAAAGACCATTTTAGGTAGAGATTGCTGTAGATACTGGGTTCATAGGATTGATCTGTTGGCTGTGGCTGTTTTTGTTCATACTTGGTGCAGTTAGTAGCTAAAAAAGCCCATCCTCTGTTCTCAGACCAAAATTAATTCTAAGAGCTCTGTTCAAAGCATCTACATGGAAATCAGGAGGTCACATGGGTTTGAAAATCAGATCTTACAGATAAAAAAGCAGTCAAGCTTCGAAGAAATTAGTGTGAGCAACAGCCTTGTTGCTGCAGATGTCTTTACCAACTTTAGTGATTCTGTAATTCATAAGCTGGATGAAATAATCTTTCAAATTAACTGTTAATTTCGAATTTCTGGCTTTCACAGCTGTAACTTTTTGGAAAACACTTCAAAGGCTTTCTCTAAGTCTCCCATAAAAGAGTAATACTATTTCTGCTCTGGAACAGGCTGGGACAATCTCCAGGAGTTGATCCACTTATCAGAGACTATGTACAAACTCCCATTAAATAAAGGTTTTCCTGATCATCTTAATTTGTGCTTCTATGGTATTTTTTTTTTTTTTTTTAACTGTTTCCTTAGGCCATTACAGAATACCAAATAATGCAGAATTTTCTTTTAAAATTATTATTATTATTTTTAGGTGAGAAATGTAGAAGTTTTATCAGTTTGACTCCAGCTTCTGATCGAGGTAAATATGCAATTTTGTTTACATAAATCAAACATTCTTGATCAGATTTACCAATATAATAAATATAATGTATTTTGATTTGAAAAAAAAAATCTCATATAGTTTTAATTGCTTATTTAGTGTTTCCACTTCAAAATGAAGCCCACATGACTTAAAGTATATGTCAGTGTCCTCTGAAATTACTCCTTTTGAATAGCAACTTAAACAAAAAAAAAAAAAAAAAAACGTATTTTGAATAAGGATACTGGAAATTAGGATTTCCAAAGCTTTTCTATCTCTTTCCTCATATCTTCAAATTCAGTCAAGAACTCTATGGATGACACTGTGCTACCTTGAAAGGCCACAGGGATGGCAGCATACAAAGCACAAATGGGGTAGCAACTTGCTGTCCCCATTAAATCCCAAGGGACTTGGGAGATGTGCTGTGAACCAAACTAATGTGGAGATGAATCGTCTCCCTGTAAGCTCTCAGTAGGTATTTCCATTCATCCAGGTTTTGCAGTCCAAATACAACTACAGAAAGTGTGGAGTAAACCTAGTTCTTTCAAAAAACCATTCCTTTTTCTACAAAACCTGCTTGCAATGCCATGAAGAGAGTCTCCTCCAATGTTAATCCCATCATGTAAATGGTTAGACCAATCTGGGAAGTGGCTGATCTAGAATAAAATCTTCTCCAAGGTTTTCAAATGCATACTAGAAAAGTACTCTTGTCCAAATAGCCTGGATATGCATTTGCAACTACCTGTGTATCAGAAAGATTGAATATCTGAGGGCTAGCCCCTCTTCTCACCTCTGTGCAGCCATGTCTCTGTTCACAAATAATTCAAGATGTTTGTATCACGAGGAGTACGTTGTGGGCCTGGGACTGATTGCTCCTCACACCTAGAACCACTGGTGGATGCAGTACTGAAACACCTCCATTAACAGGACATTGGCCCCTGGTCAGAAGTCAGATTAAGACACCTAAGAAAGCACTTCTGTACCTGAACACTGCAATGTGAAAATACCTCAGGGCAGTGCAATGCTGTGTGGAAATAAAGATTTTTGCCCTTGTCACATCTCACCTTGCACAGGAAGACAAAGCTTGTGTTCCATACATATGTATGGCTGCTGCGTGCACAAGACTTGAGATGCATCAAAGTCTCTGTTCCTGAGCTGAATATCCCAAGGCAGGGTGATACACATAAGTGCTCAGTGCATGTATAATGATGGCTCACTATTCAAAAATATTTAGATGCAAGGTCCTATTACTGGACCATACTTCTGGTTAATGTATCATTCAAATTTCCTGAACAAAATCAACTTTTTTTTGCCAAGATAAAGATTTTCTTGAGAAATACACCTCGCCCAGGAACTCCCATGCAACGTCTGATCCACTCATATAAAGCACAAGTGCATAGTATTCAATTACATGTAGTAGTCAATTACATGTCTTAGCAATGTTTCTATTTTTAATTTATGATTGTTAGTATATATGTATGCACATATACCTGGTGTATATATATATATCTATGAAATCACTTTGTGGATACACAATCAGATGTCAAAGGACACAATAACTTGTTTTTAAGAAGGTTTGTATGGTTCAGTGACCAGCTGTTGGCCGGTTCCTGCTACTGTCTGGATAGAAGAGGACTCTGCCTGCTCCTGCCTGTGTGACATTAGCATACGAACAGAAAAACAGTGATGTAACTAATAAATAACTAGAGAGAGATGAACTAGCAGATGAATCTCAGTGAAAACTGGAGATTGTGCACATGAAGGCATCTCTGTCCAAATAGAAAGAGCTTGTCTGGTGAAAGACTGTAAACTAAAAGGGAATATGTTTGTTAATGATTGGGGTAACTATTCAGTGCAAAAACTGTACTTTCCCACCTTGAACCGTGAGATTCTGACACGTACAGAAGAAACATGCAAAAGCTCATTCACTACATGGCCAGTACAGGAATAATAAGTTAGGGCAGCTATTGAACTTGAAGTCTTCTTCTTGATGTTAAAATAGCATTCTCATAGCCTCTAACTTCAGGTGAAGTCAGGTAAGGTCCCAGATGACTGGAGGAAGGGTCACATCACTCCCATTTATAAGAAAGGGAGCAAGGAGGACCCAGGAGCTGCAGGCTGGTGAGTCTCACCTCTGTGCTTGGGAAGATCATGGAACAGATAGTCCTGGACAGCCAGTACAGCTTCACCAGGGGAAGGTCATGCTTAAGCAATCTGGTGACCTTCCACGATGGAGTGGTGGACAAGGGGAAAGTGGCTGATGTCATTTAGCTGGACATGAGCAAGGCCTTTGACATGGTCCCCCACCACATCCTTATCTCCAAATTGGAGGGATGTGGATTTGATGGGTGGACCACCTGATGGATAAGAAACTGGTTGAAAGGTTGCAGACAGAGGATGGTCATCAACGGCTCTGTGTCCAGGTAGAGGCCAGTAAGGAGCGGTGTCCCCCAGGGGTCTGTCTTGAGACCGGTGTTCTTTAACATCTTCATCAATGACATTGATGATGGAATCGAGTACAGCCTCAGCAAGTTTGCTGACAACACCAAGCTGAGTGGTGAGGTTGAGGAGTTGGTGCAGGGGAAGGAAGGGATGCCATTCAGAGGGACCTGAAACAGACTTGGAAGGTGGGTTTGGGTGAACCTGATGAGATTCAACACATCAAAGTGCAAGGTTTTGCATTTGGGCCGGAGGAATCCCAGGCATTCATACAGACTGGAAGGAGTGGTCCTTGAGAGCAGCCCTGCAGAGAAGGATCTGGTGGTCCTGATGGATAAAAAACTGAACATGAGCCAGTAGTGTGCTCTTGCACCTGGGAAAGAAAATGGTATTGTGGGCTCCATCAGAAGAGGAGTGGCCAGCAGGGACAGGGAGGTGGTTGTCCCTCTCTACTCCGCTCTTCTGAGGCCACATTTGCAGTGCTGCATCCAGGTCTGGAGCCCTCAGTACAAGAAAGACAGGGAGCTGTTGGAGAGGGTCCAGAGGAGCCACAAAGATGATCAGGAGGCTGCAGCACCTCCCCTATAAAGACAGGCTGAGGGAGCTGGCCTTGTTCAGCCTGGAGAAAAGAAGGCTTCTGTGTGACCTAAAGGGAGCCTATAGACAGGAAGGGAGTCAACTCTTTGAAAGCGTAGATAACAGCATAACAAGGGGAAATGGTTTTAATTTTAGGGAGAGAAGACTTAGGTTGGATGTCAGGGGGAAATTCTTTACAGATATTGGTAAGGTGCTGGAACAGCTGCCCAGAGAGGTTGTGGATGCCTCGTCCCTGGAGGTGATCAGGGCCAGGTTGGATGGGGTGCTGGGCAGCCTGGTTTAGCATTAAATGTGGAGGTTGGTGGCTCTGCGTGTGGCAGGGGGGTTGGAGATTCATGATCCTTGAGGTCCCTTCCAACCCTGGCCATTCTGTGATTCTGTGATTCTGTGACTTTTTGTTTAAAGTTATGTAAACAATATGAATGAAGAGAAAACTGGTGAAAATATAAATGACTTTTTTATCATCTCTCACTATTTATTTGTTTTTACAGGAGTTTTATGGCTGTCTATTGTAGCAGAGCTACTCTATAACATTTTGCTTCTGACTGGAGTTGTTCTCATGGCAGTAGAAATGTGCTACTACAGTACTGTCATTGATGGACTAAAGATCAACGCCTTTTCTGCAGTAGTCATCGTGCTAGCAGGTACAGTTTAGGATCTCAATTTATTACATCCAGAAAATTTAACATTGATAGCGTTCAAGCTGAAGATTAGTAACAGTGTGTAGGATTGTAAACTACTACTGTATTTACTGAGACATTAATAACACATTGCTGTTTTTTTTTTTAATTATTATGGTCATTACTTAATATGTTTTTTTTTTAAGTTTAGTTTATATTTGTACTTGCTATTTTTAATGTCAGTGTTTTAACTTTATTATTTTGAATTTGGTTGTCTGATTGTCAAAGAAAAAAAAACCCTTCAAAATAACTTGATTTTCTATTTCCAATATGCTGAGGATAAAATGAGCAATAGTCAAACCAAAATGGCAGTTATAAGAGGGAATAAAATGGAATCACATAATTTTTAATAGAAAACAATCATACAAATTGTGTTTAATTTTCTGCATTTTATTTCTTAATCCAATGCTATCTCATAATAGCATCCTAGACAAATTCAATTCAGAAGAAACTTCAAATGGTCCCCAGTCCAACCCCTGTTCACAGCAGGGTTACCTCCAAGATCTGAGCAGCTTGCACTGCAGGGTTATATCCTTCTGGTTCTAAAAGACCTGCAGCCTTCCTTGGAAGTTGATTCCACTGCTTGTCTGTCCTCATGGTGAAGAACTTAATATATCACTACCTGAGCAATGTGGTCTGAGTTTATCATTGACCATGCAATGAGAGCTGGAGATCAGACCAGAGCCTTCTGAAAGTGTCTTGCAGTCTGAGCTACTCTGCCATTCTATGTCAAACACTGAGGAAATTTGAGCTAAAATTACTGGTAACATGCACAGTGGTTCATAGTTACTCATTTTAAAGCTAGAAGCAATATAACTTCTTGTGGAACACATACCACTATCTTTCACACTGTCATGAGTCCAAAGTGATTTATATTAGTTGAGGGATATCTTCTAAAAACACAGATTGCAAGTCAAATACATGGGCAGATGGCAAAGCCTATGTCTTTATGAATTTATCTCAAGATGCTTTTCTCTGAAAAAATTGGGTTTGATCCTAATTCTAGTATTTGTGGATTTAGTGTTCTTGTATTTGTAATTGCTGTGCTTTTCTTCATGAATTAAAGATTTTTCATTATACTTTTTCCTCTTAAATATAATCACATATTTAATGCATTTGCCATTATCATTTGTTGGATAAGTAAACTAAGATTTTTAAAAGCCCAGTCATTATAATGAGGAAAAAAATATTTTTCTTCCTTTCTGAAGATGCCTTTGCATACTTGAAGATATCTATTGTGTCTCAGATTCATCTTCTCTGAAAGAAATAATAGAAAAAAAACATGCCACGTGACCACGTATATTTCTACTGCTTCTGATCACTCTTGTTTCTCCAGGTATTCTCTTGCTCAACTTTTCTGCAGTTCTCCTAGAGGAAAGTGCTTAATGCAGACAATGGGGTGACCTTCCAAAAACTTTAGAAGACAGTGATTTACAATCCAGATAGTAACTTCTGGAACACTGTAGTTTTAGTTCAGCGTTCAAGTTAGGCCCAAATTTCCTAATCTTTTTCTGACAGATATTTTTCTAGCCTTGTGTTAGGAAAAATCTCCAACTTCCAGAATTACCACCACCAACAAAACAAAGCAAAACAAAGCAAAAACAAAAACAAAACAAAATTCCCACCTTTGTAATAAAGGTTCTGTGACTTTCTTAGGAAATGCAATCCAGACCTTAATGATGAAAATGCTTTCTTCATGCCCAATATAAAGCCACTGCTGCTACAATTTTTGTATCTTTAGGGATCTTCACCTGAAACACAGCAGGCGATTTCCTCTTCTTTTTAATTAACTCTTACACATTTCCAGATTTCTCTCAGCTCCATATAGGCCAGAGAGTGGTACCCAAGATTTGCTGTCTATGACCTTTGAGAACATTGTAGAATATCTTCTTTCTTTCTTTCTTTTTTCTTTTTTCTTTTCTTTTTTTTTCTTTCTTAAGAATGACTTTCCTGAAGGCTGGTAAAAATGTTCATAGTCACCAGTTCTACTAAATGCTCAAAAAAGACCCCTGTCTCCATAATCTTTCTTGAGCAGGGATTTACCAGTAGAGGTCCTGGAAACAATTTTAAAATATTTTAAATATTTTTCTCTTATCACTGATGAGAGATTTGCTGTATTTTGAACCTCATCTACAGAGTAAAGTAGCATACTTTTTTTGACTGAATAAATAAGCTTACTTTTTTGCTTACTTTTTATTTCTACCTGTATCTTTCCATCCATTGTCAGACCTATTTCTAAGGAAAGAGTAGTAAGCCTAAGTGATGTAAAGACCATTGCCACCTCCTCCAATCACTCTGGCACCAGACTACTTCTTTTTCTTGGCCAATGGAGCCCATCTCTGTGCCCGTGGACCCGATGTCTCTGCCCTTTTGAAAGCTTATCCAGTAGCAATGCTGAGTACATGTCGCAGTGACATGACACATACAGACATGCAAAGGACCATGACATACTCAGTCAGCTTGCCATAGTCAAAACACTGACTTGAACACAGAGGATTCACATAAGAACATGAACACAGAAAACTGACTCTCAACTTGGGCTGGCAGAGGCAGGAAATCAGTTGTGCAGGCACATACACAGCACTCCCTAGGTTCACAAGCACACAGACATTCACAGATGCTCTACATGCTGGCCCAAACCCTCTGTCTGTCCAGTATGCCTGCCCAGATCCTGGGTTCCCTTGTCTACTTCTCAGATCTCCTACTTATGAATTAGTTCAGCCTGATGCATACTGCAAAAATGCAGTTATCAGAGGCAGACACTCATCCCATGTGCACCCCATGCTATAAATCCTCCTGGATATAACAGCATGAACTCCCACCCCTCCTGATGCCCCAGACTGGACCTGCAGCACCATCATTTGCTGTCTGGTTCAGCTTGGTGTTTGCTGGCTTATACACACATACATAAGCTTTGGGGAAGATATGGACAGCCCCTACATGGGCTGATGCCAAGCACATAGGCTGTGATGCATGGCCTGGCTTCAGCCACCAGTATGGAGCCCCACACTTGCTTCACTCAAGTCAGCATCCCACCAGTAGATGGTTTGGGATTGCACAACACGCTTGCCTCAGTGGCCAGGAGTAGAAGACCCTCCACACACCAGAAGCTGCACTAAGACCCTATGGGTTCCAGTAGTTGACATTATGGGTTGGGGCATCCACATTCCCAGCCCTACTCCAGTAAGTGGCATTAAATTCCACCCATACTGAGAGGACCTCAGTGGTTGGCACTTGATCGTTTAAAGTCACATCCACACACATGTACATTTCCTCAGTCACACTGGTTTTTGCCAGCAGCTGGTTTGGGGAACACACAATTGTGTTTCAGTGGCAGGTAAAACCAGGATCTGGTATCACAATCAGGGGCCCATACCCCTAGTCTGACTCCAGTGGCTGGCACTTAGGGCTCAAAGTTTGCAGGACCTGACAGTCGGAACATCTCTCAGTTCAGCAGCTGACTGCGCAGCTAAGGGTGCCTCATCCCCTGGCCTGACTCCCAAGAGCCAGCACCAGTTTTCACACATACACACATCAGACATCCCTAGCAGCTGGCACAGTCTCTGATGTCCACATACACATAAGGCAGAGAGCACAAGTACACAGATATTTAAGAAAAAGAAAAGTGAGAAAATAGAAGAAGATAGGACAGGCTGCTATGATCAGGCAATGGGCTTTGCCAGCGAAAGCACTGACTGCCCCCATTTCATACAGGACCAGCACCTTCAGCCCATTTATACTTTTTCACTAGCCCCACCCCCACCCCTCTACCTCTCCACGTTCGTTACTCCTTCCTGCTTGTCCTCCCTTCCTTTCTCCTCCCTTCTACCTGCTTTCCAGTTTGGTTTGCATCACTACTTCCTGTATCATTTGTCTGTCAGGTTTGTTGCCCCTATATGTTTTTGTCTATGGCTTCCTTCCTTTCTTGTCCTTCATTGCACAAGAAAAAGGTAGTAGTACAGATACACTTAAAGGAGCAGAAGTTCTCTTTCCATACACGCTTACAAGCTTAATTTAACTATTTAGACAGTTTCACCAATTACTAGCTCATTTTTCTTGTGTCAATGGTCATAAGCATTCACTGTTATTCCCTATGTACCTTTGTACATTTTTACTGGATACTCTTTACTTCAGCTAGACCCTTATTTTAAACATTTCATGAGATATTAAAAAATTGAAGAACATCTGTCTTGGCTGTTAAATTTACATATAATCTATTGTAAATATGAACCAAATCTAGTTACTAGTCTAGATCCTTGACTAATTACTAATTACTAAGTTACTAATCTAGTTCCTTGACTAGACTAATCTAGTCAAGGAAATGGTTTAAAGATTCCTACACTTTAATCTGTAATGAAAATGCAGTTTTTTATACCAACATCCTCTTAATTCTAGCACACAAAAACAAACTGAAAGTCAACTAATGGGATGTGCAGCAAAAAATAGCTACATAACTAAAGCTATACTGAAAACACATTTTAAGGAAACAGCTATAGTAATCGACCATTTAAAAAAGTCAGGGTTTAATTTCCTTCAGTCTTTAGCTCAGACCAAATAAAGTCTTATAATAACTGTTCTAACTGATGTAGAATATGTTGCACTAAAAAAATTATTATTGTGAAATTTTATCCTTATATGAGAACTTCAAGGAGGTAGTTCTGGTAAACAGTAGGTTCACATCCAGTATTTCAGGAAAGATGCTTTTGTAATGACTACTGAAGCCAGGTCACTGCCAACTTCTACTTGTTATGTCCTAGACTGAGAGCCTCTGTGGACAAGCAATTGCTTTTATCTTTTTTTTTTTTTTTTTTTTTCCCCAAGAATTCATGAAGCAGAGCTACTTTGGGAATATCCATCAATTGGGACTTGTGGGGGGACTGTCTGGTGTTTTAGACAGTGAGTTGCTTGATACTTCCAGGATGTTTATATATATAGCTGGAAACAAAAAATACAGAAATTAATGGAGAAGTTCACTGATTGAAAATAAAATGCTGAGGGAAAAGTGATCTCATTATGCTTGGGTAGTAGCTTTGTAGGAATTTTGAAAATTAAATTATTAAATAGAATCCACTTTGACAACTGAGTCTTTCACTGCTTTTTAATAGGCATTAGGCACTTGCTCATTTACTCAATTCATTTACTCAAATAATGCTGATAAATCTGTCTGCTTTTGAGGCACCAATACAACCAATACTTGTACTTTTGAAAATCTTTCCACTGAAAGATAGAGCTACAGGAAACATGACCTGCACAATGCAACTGAGTGAGACTTCACTGTCGTGGCTGATGCCTGCTTAGGGCTAAATTACTAAAAGTAGATTTTGAAATACTAAAAGTAGAGAGTGAGGACCAGTAACTTTTTTGCTTTTTAATGTTGCTTTTTCTGCTTTTATCACAACATATAAATACAGCCAGATAACAATGTCCAGTATGCTCATATGTATGTTCAGTGTCTTATAGAGTTCAGATATGCTGAAAAATGTTCTTCAGAAGCTCAAGAGACAACTGCTATAGAGAGTGAGGAACGGCTGCAGCTTGCATTTTCTAATATTCTCATGATATTTTATGTATTGATATCTAATATTCTCGTGATATTGTATGTATTGATATCTAATATTCTCATGATATTGTATTTTTTAGGTCTTCTGGGCATGGTTGCTCACATGATGTACACAACTGTATTTCAAATGACTGTAAATCTTGGTCCTGAAGACTGGAGACCTCACACATGGGATTATGGCTGGTCCTATTGGTACCTATTTGCTTATGTTTGGTTCTTCCCTTACATTTCAGTCACTTCACCCTATATTCAAAGAATTTATACCTACTTTATAATGGATGGGTCTAACCTACTTCCCTCTTGATTTAGATGTTTTTTTTCTCCAAATTCAGTACTTAGATTATTGCATAGGATGTATAAACTTGTCAGTTTTGCATTTTCCATCCTTTAGACAGTTCTGCATGAAGAAGAGGTTCTTTTCCACATGCATCAGATTACCCATTTTTTTCAGAGTTAGATTTGGTACCTTTGTTTTCCAGGAAGACTGTCTTGCATAAATTACTTACAACTCTCCTGGCCTCAAACACTTAGGCTACATATTTCCTTACTTCAATTCATTGCGTGTGGAACATTTCAGACAAAATGTAAATTTTTGAGAAAAGATTTGCATATATAAGCCTATAAGCAATTGCAACATTTCTTCTGAGGAAATACTGTTAATTTATTAAGAAAGAGGGGTATGCAAGGGATTTTTGCAGTATGCATGTCTCTGTTGTGCTACTGAAAATCCATTCAAATTTGTTCAGTAGTCAGCATTTGAATTCAAGTTCACCTCAGCAAGTTTGTGATGACACCAAGTTGAGCAGTGCAGTCGATACATTGGAGGGAAGGGAAGCCATCCAGAGGGACCTGGACAGGCTGGAGAAGTGGGCCCATGGGAACCCAATGGGGTTCAGTAAGGCCAGGTGCAGGGTGCTGCCATTGGGTGGGGGCAATGCCAGGTATTGATACAGACTGGGGGAAGATGTGGTTGAGAGCAGCCCTGCGCAGAAGGACTTGGGGTCCTGGTGGGCGAGAAGCTGGCCATGAGGCAGCAGTGAGCGCCTGCAGCCCGGAAGGCCAGCTGTGTTGTGGGCTGCATGAAAAAGGAGCGGCCAGCAGGAGAGGGAGGTGATCGTCCCCCTCTGCTCAGCTCCTGTGAGGCCCCGTCTGCAGCGCTGCGTCCAGGCCTGGGGCCCCCAGCACAGGAAGGACATGGAGCTCTGGCAGCGGGTCCAGAGGAGGCACTGAGATGAGCAGAGGGCTGGAGCAGCTCTGTGTGAGGCAAGGCTGAGGGAACTGGGCCTGTTGAGCTTGGGGAAGAGAAGGCTGCAGGGAGACCTCACTGTGGCCTTCCAGTGCTTGAAGGGAGAGTAGAAACAGGAGGGGAATGGTGATAGCATAAGGGGGAATGGATTTAAACTGAGACAGGGGAGGTTTAGGTTGGATATGAGGAGGAAGTTTTTGAGCCAGAGGGTGGTGAGGCACTGGAACAGGTTGCCCAAGGAGGCTGTGGATGCCCCATCCCTGCAGGCATTCGAGGCCAGGCTGGATGTGGCTCTGGGCAGCCTGGGCTGCTGGTTGGTGACCTGCACACAGCAGGGGGTTGGAACTAGTTGATCTCTGAGGTCCTTTTTCATTCTATGATTCTATGATTCTGTGATTCTAAGATAATTCTATGAATTTGCAGATGATATTTGCTGGAAACAGCTGTCATTATGTCAGTGCAGAAACATCTATATTGGGAATGGGTTAAATCGAATGTCTGCCGGGGCCCAATAACTAATGTCACTAAGGGAAAACTCAGACTAATTCTCTACATACCAGTTCTGAGAGTTTAGATCACAGCTCATTGTCATTCACACTTTTGTTCTTTTAAGATTTATTGTATTTTTACTGAATGAGAGATTATAGCTACGTCTTTACAATGCAGATTTTCTAGAGATTTTGCAGTGAAATAGTGTTTGGTTTTTTTTTCCCTGTCTCCTGGTTTGTTACTTTCCACCTTTCTAATAACTGAAATCACATTTGAACACATTGACAACTCTACATTGCTTTGCCTCCAGGGGTCTAAATTTCCTGAGCAGAAGCAGCTTGTTTGGAAGCTTCTGTTCAATACGTACAAATTTTCTCTTGTGCCTTCAGTGCACTTACATTTGGGTCCAGTCAAAACTTCAAAGACAGAGACTATTCAAATAATAAGAAATTATGTAGCTTAGCATGTCTGTCCAACGTACAAGGAAGCCATTGGTACCTGCATGTACAAAGACGTAGAGGAAGATGGTCTGTGTGGTGCCTGTGGTGCCTTTTTTCTAATCAGTCACATGCTCCTTTTTTTTTTTTTTTTTTTTTTTTTTTTTTTCTGGCAAAGTTTACTGTCTTCTTTCCTTTACTCAACCTGAAAGGTAGTCATGTCACCCCATTCAAATGTAAGAATAAAGCAAAAAATACATACAGATGCCTCATCCTCCATCTGTCTTTCTTGGTTTCTTTCCTCTTATCTCTTTCTATACGTCATATCGTCTCTTTTTTGATAGCCCACGTTTGGACCTTCCTCATTTTTGTGTAAATCCTCAACTTCAGCATTCCAAAACTTCTCTCATACTGACTGACTGGGAGAACCTCATGAGAGTGAAAAGGGAAAGATGCTCATGAGGAAAGAAGACAAATGACAAAAGTTGGACATTCATTATTGTATTTAACTCTGTTTTTGATTATCCCAACATCCACTTGTCACTAAGACCATGTCAGGGACATGGACAGGCAGACACACAGGAAAAGATTTTACTACTTTACCTTTGGGTCCTCTTTAACATTACCTCCCTAACAGCAAGGAAAACAGAGAATCAGCAGTTTTTCATCCCAACCTCCAGACTCATTGGAAAAGAACTGCAATGCCAGCAAGAACTGTTGATCCTGTCATGCTTCTTCCATCTGCTACATTTTCCCATGTTTCCTCATATCTGGCTGCAATGCCTGAGGTTTTTTTTCCACCTGGTCCAGGAGGCACCTGCAACAATAATTACTACTGATGGGTAGGCTCGGTCTGTGGTGGCCCTGAACATCTTTATAATAAGTGTTGTGGTTTAACCCAGCAGGTAGCTCAGCATCACAGTTGTTTGCACATTGATGTCTTATCAACATTGTTTTTCTCCTAGAACCAAAAACATATCATCGTGTCAGACTCTGAAGAAAACAATTCCATCCCAGCTGGAACTAAGACAATAAATCTCTCCATATTTCTTTTCTATCTTCTTAGGTAGATTGAAAGATCTTTATATTGTAGTGAATCTCTCACTACCCTTGTGTTTCTCACATTGATACATCCTCAAATGAAAAACCATTTTCTCTCTAAAGATTTACTTTGTAGTAAGTTTCTATCATGAAGCAGTGATGGAAAAACATGTATTCCAGTTGCGCTTTTATCTGTAATTCTTTTTACCAGATGAACTAGTTGCTGTAATCCACTTTCTTTTCCAGTTGATCTTTCTGATCATGCTTTTGCCTTTATTCTTTGAGCAGAGTTCAAACTGAATTCGCTTCTTGAAGCTGAATTTCCACTGTAGCCAAGCTCTCCTTTATTCTCTGGCTCTTTCAGTAACAAGACTTCACTCACTTCTTTCCTTGGTTCTCCTTAGCCACTGGGTTCTTTCTTTCTTTCTTAATTTTTATTTTTTGCCAAATTGTTTATGTAAAAGGAAAAGTTCTGGGAAAAATCTTGAAGAATCACATTAATATTTTCTACTGTCAAAGAAACAATTCTGGTTTTTATTTTGTATATTTTAACATAACATTGATCTGCCGAAGTATCTGCTTGTAAGAGCTCAATTTTTTTCAGTCTTTGCTAAGAGGCCTTTTTTGAAGTTTTCTCGTAATCAGTTTCTTTATTTCAGTAGCTTCTTCAAAGGGCTTTAACAGGGTGGTCAACAAGAGTTGTGCTTCATAGTATTAATTATATTGATTTTTCTACTAATCCCACAGTGCATTATTTATTCAGTCAAAATGCTTTTAATCAGATCAGATACACTAACTTTAAATCATCTCATAGGCTAAAACGTGATTTCATTGCTGCCATCTTCAGCTCTTCTCTACTACAGTTGGCTCAAGCCATAGGTTACTTACCAGCATAGGCAGACCTACTGTTCCATTTGCGTTCAGTTTGAACGGCAATGTACGTGTACCTGCTTCTGTTGACTTTCACCAATTCTTGCTATTTCTTTGCTACAAGATCTTTTCCACTTATCCTCATATTTGAGATGGGAAGTCAGTGTGTAATTTGGCTGACTTGAGGAGAAAGCATAACTTAAACTGATCTGCCTTCTTCCTGCTCCTATTAGTTCTATGCATCTGTGTGCCATACTCCATTGCACTCAAACTCTGTTAAAGCATCTAGTTGTCTGATTATCTGGTAACTAATCCTTGCTGAAAATAGCACTTAGAAGGGGAAAAAAAAATTAAAAAAAGGAAAGAGTTATTTAAAAACACAAATGAGTTCATTGAACTACAGCAAGGATGTAGGAACAAACAGCTATGAAGGAGAAAAGATATTAAAAGGAGTTTCTTAAACTGACTTCTCCACTAAAGCACACATTTCATTTGATTATCCTGACCTTGCCATGTTAAGAAAGGCTCTGCTAAATTTCTTCACTGTAAACTCTAATTCATTCCACTGTGACCATATTTTTACACGATAATTTTATATTTCTAGCATGCATTGCCCACTCAGTAGTCTAGAGTTTTCCTGTATCTCCAGTAAACTGTAACTCAATATCATTTTTTAGTTCCGTCTTTTTATGGTGTTATTCCAAACATTTCATAGTTGGTGTTATTTTCTTCCTCTTTAGTCATCATCTGTTTTCTCAGGAATGTATTTCAGTGTTTGACCCTCTTATTTAACTCTTTTCTTACTAATCTTTGTGAGTAACTGACACAAATTATTTGTCAGTGGCACCTGTGAGATTTTTAGTCTCAGTAGCTGCACATTCTAATTTTGTATGCATCTTCATTCTTATGCAGTTCCTCTTTCTGAAAATGAGCTCAGAATTAACAGAGGATCAGAGGCATTAAAATGGATATTATAAGGAAGGACAATAAATGTGAATGTTATAAGCATTATACAGAGGTCCATTTTATAAGTCAGGTATGTGGATGGCAATTAACCAAATGCATTTCTTCTTCTCTGACTATGCTCCTCTTTCCCTAGTATAAAACAATGCAACATCTTAGGTGCATTTTTTCAAAAATAAAGTTGAAGAAGTTGGATATGACGATGTTCTGCTAATTTCTAATAAACTTTTTTGTTTATAGCCTCGCTTGGGCTTCCTTCGCTTGCTGTATGGCTGCAGCTGTCACCACTATTAACAAATATACAAAAACTATTTTGGAATTCAAGCACAAAAGAAAAATGCTGGAAAGGAGTTTAAAGATTAAATACAAGTTTCCTGATCACGCAGCTCCAGAGAAAGCTTGCAATGTGTATGTGAACTCTTTTCACAACACTACAGAGGACTGTGCACATCCAGTAAAAGATTTATGTCACATGGGCACTATTTCAGTTCTATAAGTTTTAACCTTTTCTCAAGGCATACTGTGAACCATAAAATCAGAACAGAATGAAACAATGTTATTTAATAAAATTGTACATTTGTGTAGTATTAGTTATCTTCTCTAATAAAAAAAATAATAATTCCATGAATGTTTCAAGGAAGTCTTAGTATTGCAAAAGCAGATTCAGGTGTCCTAGTTCAGAAAAAGATCTGTGACATAGGTTCTGCATTCCTCTGATTTTTAAGCAGAGTGCCTGGTGTCTCTTGCTGAAGCTAAGAAAAGTGAAGGCATGCACCCTTGTTTGCAGGAGATATGCTGTTTGGATGAGTTAAGGAGCTGTGGGAGGAGGTGAGCAGGCTGCATAGCACAGTGGGTGATGAAAAAGAGATTAACAAGTTATTCACAGGATGCTGCAAAGACAAGCACCTGAACTTCTATATTCACAGAAGAAAGTGCAGCTGGAGTCAGCTTGCTGTAGGGTCACAGGACTGAGAATGCTGGGTGCTTGTAACGTCCAGTAAGAGGAAGATGGCTCTTTCTCCATTAGCAGATCTGCAACTGCAGAATTGGTTTGGCCTCTGGCATCAGGTAAAGAGTGGAAGCTCTACCTGGGGTGCGCTCAGAGCCAGCAAATCCTGAAACATGCAGCAGCATCAGTGTGTGACAGCAGTGGGAGACTGTCTCCTTCAGGGACTGAAGGCCATTTTCTGGTGATGTGATAACATATAGGGATGTTTGCTCTCTGTTGGAACATTGCATATAAAGTGTTTCAGGGAGACTGCTGAAGTCTGTCCAGCCCTCAGACAACTATCCCCTGCTGATTACCCATTTGGACACCAAAGATACTACTGGGGAGGCCTTGAGCATGTCCAGAGTGACTATACAACTCTGATTTGAGGGGGAAGGTATAGGACATGGGGGCCCAGGTTGTGTTTTCCATGACCCTACAGGAAGAAAGACTGACTGGGTGAAGGGCCTAGATGCTGCGGACAACATTTGATTTTGCATAGCTGGTCCAGATGACAGGCTTTGACAACTGTAGCACCCTCTCTGAGGATCAGGAACTGCTTGAGGAGACAAGGGCTATTTGGTAAAGCTGGACAAAATAATGTCATTGATGAAGCTGGTCAACATGTTGAGGTGAATGTTTACTAGGAATGATGGAAAAGATAAATTATGTCATTAAGCAGGAAAGATGGAAAGAAAAAGGTACAAGGTGACAAGTGAGACCTCAGGAATGACAGAACAGGATAAAATAAAACTAATATCAAGTGTACATACACAAATCCAAGCAGCCTGTGAAACAAGTGAGAGGAACTAGAACATTGTATGCAGACAAAGAACAGCAGTGTAATTGAAATGAGAAATGTGGTGGCATGGATTGAGTGATTGGATTACCATGATGATTGAAAATCAACTCCATGAAGGGTGACTTGGGGATCTTGCTGGACATCAAGCTGAAAATGTGCTTGGCAGAAATGCCAACATTCTAGGCAATGCTCATCCTGTTCCAACCCCCTGCTGTGTGCAGGTCACCAACCAGCAGCCCAGGCTGCCCAGAGCCACATCCAGCCTGGTCTCGAATGCCTGCAGGGATGGGGCATCCACAGCCTCCTTGGGCAACCTGTTCCAGTGCCTCACCACCCTCTGGCTCAAAAACTTCCTCCTCATATCCAACCTAAACCTCCCCTGTCTCAGTTTAAATCCATTCCCCCTTATGCTATCACCATTCCCCTCTTGTTTCTACTCTCCCTTCAAGCACTGGAAGGCCACAGTGAGGTCTCCCTGCAGCCTTCTCTTCCCCAAGCTCAACAGGCCCAGTTCCCTCAGCCTTGCCTCACACAGAGCTGCTCCAGCCCTCTGCTCATCTCAGTGCCTCCTCTGGACCCGCTGCCAGAGCTCCACGTCCTTCCTGTGCTGGGGGCCCCAGGCCTGGACGCAGCGCTGCAGATGGGGCCTCACAGGAGCTGAGCAGAGGGGGACGATCACCTCCCTCTCCTGCTGGCCGCTCCTTTTTCATGCAGCCCACAACACAGCTGGCCTTCCGGGCTGCAGGCGCTCACTGCTGCCTCATGGCCAGCTTCTCGCCCACCAGGACCCCAAGTCCTTCTGCGCAGGGCTGCTCTCAACCACATCTTCCCCCAGTCTGTATCAATACCTGGCATTGCCCCCACCCAATGGCAGCACCCTGCACCTGGCCTTACTGAACCCCATTGGGTTCCCATGGGCCCACTTCTCCAGCCTGTCCAGATCCCTCTGGATGGCTTCCCTTCCCTCCAGTGTATCGACTGCACTGCTCAACTTGGTGTCATCACAAACTTGCTGAGGCTGCACCGGATGCCATCGTCTGCCATTGGCGAAGATGTTGAAGAGCAACTGTCCCAACACTGACCCCTGAGGGACACCGCTTGTGCCCGGCCTGCACCCTGACACAGAGCCATTGATCACAGCCCCTTGGCTGCGACCAGCCGGCCAATTCTTCACCCACTTCTAGGAACCTTAAACATAACAAACCCAATGCAGCATCTCTAGGCAGTGAATCGGCTCTTCATTCTACACTTCATTGCAGAGAGCACTGTGGAACTTGCTTTAGCAAGATGTTAGGCATTTATACCACCAAATATATTGGTGTTTATATTGCAGACCATTTGACCCAATTAAGTTTGATGGATATGAAATCTTAGTAAGATGTGCTCAGAGATACATACAGACAAAGCTATGATTGTGTTGGTTACTCAGAGTGCAGCAGAAGTTAACGGAAGAAATAAGCACTTCCAGAATGCAATTTATGTAATTTACAGCACCTGTTTCTTTCCACTGATATTAAGAGTAACAAGTGCAGCTGCCGTCTGAACTAAATGTCCCTTCTTTCAGTTTAACGCCATTGCCCCTTGTTCTATCACTACCATCTCTTAGGCTTTGTTGAAGGCCACTGGAAGTACTTACGGGAGAAATGAAACAGAAAACTTTGTATTAAATAAGACAATTCCCTTGGCGGGTAAAAACAGTTCAGAAATGTCAGAGGATAAACCTTGTTTAAAAAAAGAAACAACAACAAACCCACAAGATTATTGAAAAGTGTGACCCATTTGAAAGGTCACCTAATCCTTCTTTTTCCCCAGGCAGGATAAGCTGAAGCTACATTGCTTTTTTACAGATGCTTCATTAATCTGTTCTTTAAGGCCTCCAAAGACAGGCATTCTAAAATTTCTGTGACAATTTATCCTTAATGCTTAACTATTCTTAGCAAAAAATTCTTATCCTGCAAATCTCCTTTGCAGTTTGTCCTGCAGCAACAGAAATGGAGAACAGTTTAGTTCTATGCTGTTGGCAATATATTTATGTATTTGAATATCAGATATAACTTTCTTTTGCTTTCTAATTTCAAAATTTCTTGATTCTTCATGCCTTTGTTATTCTCACAATTTTCACTTTCGTTCTGTATAATGTTCAATGTTTTTGAAGTGTTTGAAATGAACCAAGAATTTCTGCTGATATTTAGGAAGTGCAAAGGGGAGCAAAAAGATCATTTAGCTTATTTTAATGGCAGATCTACCTGGCTTTACAGCAAAGTACATTAATACATACTTAGCTGCGATATCCAGATTCCTTGAGCCTTTTCTGGAGAAACTGCCCAGTTATTTCATATTTTGTCTTTGTGGAGCTGAGGTTTTGCTATTGCTGAGGCATAGAGTCAAGCACATCAGAGACCACAGTACAGTTCTTTTGTTTAAGGGAACAGAATTCTGATGAGGAGAAGAAATATACACAAAATGGATGTTTGACTTCACTATTAAGGAACATACAACAATAGAAGCTCATATCTCCAAAAGAAAACAGATTGAGGTCCAGTGGGTAATGCAGAAACTCACTGCTTATGACTAATTGTGGACAACGTCCCTGACTGAAGTAGATGAATTTTTGCTTCCTGAGAACAGAGCAACTGGACTTGTGATATGAGAAAAGGTTAATCTCTCCACCAGATAGGAATATATTTCTTTGCACTGAGAATTTTCTTTCACATTTGGTGATTCTTACTGACAGGAATAGGCATATTAGTGCAGCTGGTATTAACTGTGTGAGTAACTGGCCTTTGCTGTAGCCTTAAGTGTAGATTGGTTGCATACTTTAGGAGTATAAAGGGGTTCAGCAGATAAGGCATTTTGCCAAGATTTGCAAAAGAGCAGGTGGCCACTTATGATTGCGTTGATGACACAAGAGATGCAAGAGGAGGATTTAAGAGACAAAATTTAAGCTTTCAGATGTGAAACTTAAGATCAGAACACTTCTGCTTTGGCTTTATTTACATTCTGGTTCATCTCACAGGGTAAGAAAAAGTACGTATTGAACTGGAAAAGTATGATAGGGAAGAGAAACCTTGTAGCTAGGAGTGAGAGAACTTCGGTGAATTTACACAAGTGACATGAATAGCATTCATGCTTACACTGGATCTGCTGCATAATAACCTCACATAACAGAAGGAACAGGCAAACTCAATTTTCAGTGGCCATTAGAAAAGTATCTCAAAACTAGGATTTTGTAAAAGACATGCAGAAGAAAAGCACAGGATAGTAATGCAGGAAATATACGTAAGCCTGTTTATGAATACAGAGTATTTATCTATCTTGAATACTTCATGCAGCTGTGGCCTCTCTGTCTTAAAACAACAACAAAACAAGCAAAAAAACAACAGTAAAACCCCAAACAGATAAGCTAGGAAAGACATTAAGAAAAATAAGAAGCCCTCCAAAAGAGAGGGCAAAATGACAACAGGGCTCTTCAACTTGGAAAACAAGTAACTGCTTGGAAAGTATGATGGGTATGAATGACAGAGAGTGAACAAATTGAGAGTGATTTTTGTTCCACAGAAAAAAAGTAGGAGATATCAGAAGATACTATCTGACATCGGATTTAAAGAAAGCATAAATGAATATGTTTTTAAATGTATGATGAGTTCCTGCCTTCAGGGATGGAATATTTTAACAAGAATTCGAAAATACTTGTGCAAAAAACTGATAGAAGGGATAGTTTAATAAGATGCAGAGACGGATGCATTGTGCTTGTGTAGCAGTTGTGAGAAACTAGAAGATTCTAATCAACAGCATTATTCTGTATTTTTGCCCCATTCTTATATTTTTGCATATGTTCTGGGGTCCTGTCACAGCTGAGGCATTGAATTAGACGAGCTCTATTTGGAGGTCAATATTTGAATATCCATTACAAATACTAACAAAAAACTGTATCTGGAGAACAATGTGACGGGGCTCCAATGCCCATTTCCATTAATTTGTATACCTCTGTCTCCCACATCTCCTTCCATCTCAATCCTTTCATTCCATTAAGTCCCCATCAATCCCAGCTCTGACAGATTATTCTGATAAGTTGTTACAAGTCCCCAAAGCTTTGACCTGCCCATTTATATTGAGAATTGCTCTGTAACAAGAGTGATGGTGTTCCTATCAGGTTTTCCCTTGTTATATTCACTAAATCCAGAAGAGTGGAAATCTCACAGATGATAGGGTGCCAATTGTAGTGAATCACTGAGACACTGGCAGGTTTAGGGTAGCAGCCTCCTGCTTTATTCCACCCATACTGGTAGCAGAAATGATATTTCAAATGTAAACATTTTTCAGGTCGTAAACAGGGAGAATGAAACAAAATCAATTTTCTTGTTCTGTCTTCAGTTTTTCCCTAATCCCTGAGGCAACAATGGCAAAAAACATTTCAGGAAAGAAGGTGCGAATGTAAACAGCTGCTCTGGGTATAGGGTTGGCCATCAGCACCTCCTGCTTCTTGCTGCTCACTGTGCGCAAGACTTCCTCTGCCACCTCTGCTGGGTGCACACCATAAGTCACCTTTCTGAAAAAGACTGAATCAAAGAGAGAGGAATTAGAAGTACAAACAGGCAGGCACAACTGAGGGAATTGAGAAGATAGACAACTAGTACATCAGTCCAGTTAAGTTCATATAAACTTTCATTTCTTTACCCTCTCCCTTCCCTTCTTTTGTGCTTCCTGACCAACCACACCAAGATTTTCCCTAAGGGAAGAAGCAACCTGAGCACAGCTGAAATCTCCCTTCTATCTTTCATGCTCTTCTCAACCTTCATTCTCCATGCCATGCTGTATTTTTTTCTCACATGATGTTGCTCCTTTCCGTATATCTCCTCTTTTTAATATATTCGTCTGATCTCTTCAATCTTTCTTTCCTTTTGTTCTCCTAACGTGTTCATCTTGTTGTCTTTTCCATTTCTTTCCCTGTGCTCTTTTCTTCATAAGAAAAGCTTCCATACATCTATATGGAACTCATCCAATGTCTGTCTTGTTTCACCAAACCTTACATTTCCAAATTGATGCCTCCCAAGTGCCAGGTGCTGGCTGATGATGGTATGAACAGATGAAGGTTGGATTGACAGTGCTGACAGAAATATCAAATTCTTCCATTTCTGCTCTAAGACAATCAAAAAAGCCTACAGCAGCGTGTTTAGAAGCAGCATCTGAAAGAAAGAAAAAACACGTGGATGTTTGGATGTATGGATTTGGATGTGTGAGGAATTCCATGAAACAATAATTTTTAGAACATTAATCTGGGAATGATTATCCAATAAAGACAAAAGAATAGTGAATAACTTCACTCAGTGAAATTAGGACATATTTAAAACAAACAGAAGAAATGGAATTTACAAAATTAAGTTTTGCATAAGGTGCAATATGAACCTCCCTAAGCATGTGAGAAAGCATGTCTGGATTCCCCAATCATAAATATTAAGTCCTGAGTTAAGAGTAGTTTCTCTAATATCTCTACAGTTTGAGAACATCTTTAGTAGACAGACAGTTGTCTCTGAGATGAGTGTCCACCACATCTGATGCTGTAATTTGTGACACATTAGTAAAATGCAGTAAAATACACAGCTGTTTCTGGAAGACAAGTTGTGTATTTTGCAAATAAATTCGGACTTGGCCCTGCAGCAACAATTCCGTATGTTTTCAATATTAAAGTTTATATTTATAAACTTATATTAAAATAAGAGTTTATATTTATAAACTATATTTATTAAGTTAATATTTTTAAAATTAAATAATTTATTTCTTCTTTTGCTTCTGCATGACCTTTTTTTTTTCCCTTTTCACTTTAATTCAACCACTCCTTATCTATGAGCCTCTTTTTACAGTACTTTGTTTCTCTGTTCTTTTAGGGAGTGGGAGTGAGAGAGGTGTGGTGAAGCTTAGCTTTCTATCAGTGTGAAGCCACCACAAGATATTAGAGCTAAAGGCTCATTGTTCCCTGATTCCTTCCCAAGAACTTTAAAAATTTGCTGTCACATTTGATATCTATGTATTCTCAAGCACCATAGGCAGCAGTCATGTTTCACAGTACTTTTAACTATTTTTTCTTGAGTTTGACTTTGAAAATGTTTCAGTCAAATACATTATTAATCATCTACTTAAATTTGATTAATTAAATTAAATTAAATTAAGAAGGCTGGAAATTACCACTTTTAATATCTAAATATTTATACATTAAAATGAATATTATGTGAACATTTTTTTGAATTTATGAATTCATAAAAACATACCATATGAATGAATGTATAACTTACAAGCTGCACGAAATGGGACTCCTATTTTTCCTTGAATACTATTAATTAAAACTATTTGGCCAGTTCTTCTAGAAATCATGTTGGGAAGAATGGCTGAAAAAAGAAATGGAAAGAAAAAGCCAAATAAGTAAAAGAGCTTAATATCTTCAGAGAAAATAAATGACAGGTAAAGTATATTTAGCAAAATTTAATGAACAGTAAGATCATAGAATCATAGAATATTCCAAGTTGGAAGGGACCATAGCAGTTATCAAGGCCAGCTTCTGGCTCCACTCAGCACCATCCAAACCATGTGACTGAGAGAGAGATCCAAATGCTCTGTGAATCCAGCAGCTCAGGCCCGTACCCACTGCCCTGGGTAGCTGTTCCACACACACCAATCTCTGGTGCAGAATCTTTCCCTAACCCCCACCTGATCCTCCCCTGATGCAGCAAACCAAGGTATCTCATCTACTCCTTATACGCCTTGCCCTCCAGCCCAGAGCAGAGCGCGACGATCCCTTTCCTTGCCAGTGTAGCTATACTTTGCTTAATGCATTCTAAGATACGGTTGTCAGTGCACACTACTGACTCATACTCAAGTTGCTGTCAATCATAACCCCTAGTTTACTTTCTGTGGCACTATTCTACAGCCTCTCATCTCTAAATTTACATACATACCCAGGGTTAATCCCATCCCAGGGGCAGGATCTGGCACTTACTACTGTTAAAATTCATTGAATTGGTGATTTTTCATTCCTCCAACTTTTCTCTGTAAAGCCTCTCTACCTTCAGATGAGTTGATGGATCCTCCCAATGTAGTGTTGTCACTTAGCATATCTTCAAACTAACTCATCGATGAAATTGTTAAAGATAACTGGCCCTAACGTAGAGCCCTGTAGAACCCTGCTAGTGACTGACTACCAGACTGATGTAACTCATCCACTATAATCCGTTGGGCCCAACTCGTCATCTAATTGTTCATGCACTGCATTATGTTTTTGCCTAATCATATGCTAGACATTTTGTCTGGAAGGATATTGTGAGAAACAGCATCTAAGGATCTGCTGAAATCCAAAAAGATAGCACCAGCTGGCTTCCCTTGGTCAGCTCAATGGATGATCTTGTCAATAAAAGGAAATTGGGTTAGTTAAACAGGACCTTCCCCTCATGAATTTGTATTGTCTGTGACCAATTAATACATCATCCTCCAGACATTTTTTAATATCTCACAGCATAATTTTCTCCATTATTTTACCAGGCACTGAAATGACACTGAAAGGCCCCTAATTTCCAAGATCATTGTCAAGATCTTTTTTTTTTCAAGATCTTTGCTTCCAGTCAACTGAGACCATTCCAGATACCCAAGATTGTTGAAAAGTAATTATGACAGGTATCACAGTGCCATCAGTCAACTCTCTGAGTACCCTGTAACCAATGACTGCATTGTCTCTCTGGTATTTTTCAATAATTTCTAAAACAATTTTCCCCATAATTTTACCAGGAACTGGTGAGTCACCATCTTGTCTGATTGACCAATAGTAGACTTCCATAACGACATCTACTTATTTGCTTGTACTTAAATCCTTATCCAGAGGCTTTCAAATGTGTCACTGCCAACTGCAAGCTCTGTGCAATTCAGCCTCTCCATCACACACTACTCCCCACTTTGCCTGCACTGTCAGTCCCCTCTGAGGAGATCGTAACCATCTGCTGTGACACACCAGACTCAGGACTCTTTCTGCTAGGTATAGCTTGTATTAAGTATCATAGCTCTGAGATGGAGTCAAAATTTTCATAGCAACAAAGGCAGCAAGCACAGAACTGAAGGAGTCACCAAAAGGAAAAACAAGTAGACAAAATTTTTTTCAAACACCTACTAATATATTTTCAAGCCTGATTTATTTCCAGGCTGATTTTGATCTTATTCACTTCAATTGCAGCCCACTCATGTTCACATGATTCTGTCTGTAGTGAAGAAGGCAAAGTTAAATGCTAATGCATCAGAATAATGCTGGTGATTTGGATCTTAAACTTCAAGTTGTGACAGGAAAAAAAAGGAAAAAAATTAAAATACCTTTGGTTAATGTTATAGGTCCAAAATAGTTGGCATCCATTATCTTTTTATCAAGTTCCAATGAAATGCTCTGCACTGCTCCTTTTACCTTCATACTTGCATTGTTGATGAGTATATCCACACAACCATAGCAATTCAGGATTTCCTTAGCTACATCTTGAATGCAGTCTATGTCTGAGATATCCAGAAGAATGAGCTTTGGTGTATATGTCTAATAAAGGAAAAAAATATTCAAGGATTTGAATCATGGCACAGTTTTTCCATATTGTGAGAACAGCCTTTTGCATAACTTGAGTGGATAGAAGCTGCAGGACAGGAGGCCTGTGTGAACATAAGCTCAAGAACAAAATGTGGAGGCGGCAAAACTGCAAGACTCGTTGCCAAGTGAAGAAAGCAGAACAGATGTCTTGTTGTTGAAGATAAGATGGCAAAACAGATACCTCAGCTCAGTGTAACGTCAGTGGAAACCAGTTTGGGCTACCCTTCCTAAAAGGTTGGAAATGTACAGCGAGAATGATTGCTAGCCTTCAATTCACAACCACCAGAGATGTTGATCATTTCTTGGAGTTTCTGCCCATGTGCTTGGAATGTAATGACTACGTATACACTATGCCTTTAAATATGCAATTGCTGCTTCTTTTCATGTGCATGTTGGTGGAGCGATCTCCATGCACCCAGTGCTGTAATAAAGGAATACTTGCTCGTCAGAACCCATTGGCATGTAAAGTTACTTTGTTGGTTTTCTCAGTTTCAGATTCCTTATACATAAATTATTTTCTACTTACAATTTCTATTTACTCTTAAAAACAATAAAATTTACCACTGTATCTGAAGAAAGTGCATTATTATTCTTACAGAAAATCTTCATTTGTTCCTTTAACCCACTCTGGAAAGAGGTTAACTCAGTAATAGGTACTCTTGTACTCTGAAATTCAGATACAGGTGCATAACACCTCGGGAAGAGTAAGCTGGAATAGCTGCATCCAATAAATGCAGATAAATACACATGGGATGACTCCTATCCTTCCTCTTTTCATAAACAGAACTCTGTAGAAATTTGTTGACCACAGAACCTTAGTTAAAGTGCTTTGAGAGATGATCCGCGTATATAAGAGGAACTGAATGTACAGGGGAAATTGGGAGGTGGGAATAGTTTGTTTAACTATAGGTAATCCAAACCACGTGTATTGTTTCTTTCAAAGATGTAGATTTTATCAGCTGCAGCACAGAGGAATGAACTCTGAGAATTTTCACATATTACTATGCTGAAGTACAGACAGGTCCCTTAGTCATACTTAATGATTTTTCCCAGTTGATTACACAAATTAGCACAAACACAGTATTTCTTTGTGAAGATGAATAAAGCTCACTGTAGAAAAAGGGTGACATGTATTTGTTGGTCTGGTGACAAATGGCTATGTAATTTATGGACTACTTATGCTCTGAAATGAGTCTGATCACAGAAGGAAGGATTTTCCATGGGCACCAAAGAAACATCTCCCAAAGAACCACCTCTGACAGCATGGGAAGCCTTTACTGGTCTCACATCTCTATTTGCATGCTTAGTCAGTGGTAATGAGCGAACTTGTATTTATGTGCTCCCATAACCTGCAATCTGAGAACTCTCACAAAGTTGTAGAAATATTTAAGATTAATGAAATCCTTGGAACCACCTCCCTTTTCTTGAACACTCAAGCTATGCAAAAAAATGATGGCAGTTCACACAGTGAAATGGAGAACAACATCTGAATTAACATGTAAATCATTCTACCTCGCATTTCTAGTTGTCTGGCTTTGAGCAGGGATTCGTTCAAAATTCAGGTCCACTCAGGAGCTTTTGATCTTATTTTTGACATATTTTTGACATCATGCTCTTCAAAACTTCCTCTCTTTCTCTGAACTGTGCTGGGTGTATTTTGTGGATGACCAAAATCACTGCTGGTGTCTGAATTAAGCTCCATGTAGACCTCATTTTAGTAGATTTAAAAGCAGTTTTTGTACCTGAACAAGGTTTTTACCTCAACTTGTCAATTTTCAGAGCACTGCGAGGAAACACTTACTGCACTGGGGTCTGCCACGCTAATTAAAGCATCATACAAGGCTTCCAACTTCTCCCATGTTCTGCCACACAACACAAGCCTTGCTCCTCCTGAATGAAACACTTGAGAACATTCTAGGAGAGAAAGAAGTTCAAAAGAAATAATAACAATAGTAGCAATTTGATTATACCCATTTTAGTTGAAATGGGAGGCTGTTTTTGCTAATGATGTTGAATCGTTCATTAAAAATTCATTATTTTTTGAAGGATAAAAATATGAGAAAAAAAGAATTTCCAAATATAAATGAGTAATAAATGAAATTTTATGAATATTTTTACCATATTAAGGTCATCACAATTAATGGTATAGCATGATGATACTCTTTAGTTGTGGTATATAATTAAGAAAAGAACAGTGTGACAGTTAATGTGTTAGAATAAGAAAAAAAGTGTTTGTCTTTCTTCCTTAACTGCCTCCACCTGTAAGTACAGTGTAATGAAAAACATACACAAAAATACATTTATGATGTTGCTACATGTCAAAATCTCACAACAATACCAATACACCAACCAATCCCAGAAAGCAGAAAACTAGGTTTGGGCACTGTCTTCATGAAACTTTCAGGCACATGAAACTCATCTACAATTCTGAGAAAGAACGGTACATAGAAATTTAGCAGCCACTGTCCTATAAATGAGATGAAATAGCAGCTGGAAGGTCTTTCTTACACAGACCCTTATTATTCATCAATCTTCCCAGGACTCAGTGGAGGCAATGGGGACAACCCTGAGCTACCTCTGGTTCAGACAGGATTCCTGAAGCCTTCCTGAGAAGATCACTGAGAAATTTCTGTGTACGCTAAGATGGAACTGCTTTCTCTACATACAGACAAGGACATTCTGGACTAAGGATTCACAACAGTTTAAACTGTCTCTGGAGAAGATTCTCTCTTGCTAATGCAAGTGAGCTAGAATTGTACTTTTCTCAAACTGGTGGCTCAATGAAACTGGCAGTCAGTACTACAGTTTCTCATGCCTGAGCATCAGCCTGAAATATCAGGTTGAAGCTTTTTGATGGTTTGTGTCTGACTGGTTTTCTTCTCTAGCTGATGAAGGGAGAATACATTCTTCACTGTGCTTCCCGTTTGATCAGAGAAAGGCTTTTTAAAAATCAGGGACATCTTCAGGGATTAACTGTCTGTTGTACTCCCCAAGAGGTCGTAGGGCGCCTAGGGATATGCAATCTAGCTCAGCTGAATTGAAGAAGTGGTTCTCAGTTTGGAAATGTGTCAAGATAGTCCTTGCAATGAGGAAAAGTACACGCTTGCCTTTTTTTTTAATCTCTTGTAATATAAATTGTATTGCAGATAGCCTGTAGGCATGACACAATGAACACACTGCTTTAAATCAGAAGATCTGCTTTAGGTGCAGATAGACAAGTAGCTGGCAGTGGGTTACGTGTGCTGGCAGGATTGAAAATTAAAAGGTCTTTTCCTTTCATGACTTATTTTCTGTCTAGATCTTCAAAATCCTTTCAGCCTTGAAACCCTTATATTTGGTCCTTAAATTAAATCTGTATGTCATTTGCATATTCAACACTGGAAGAACAGGAAGATGACCTTACAATTACTCTTGCTTTTCCCGCCTCTTTGATTTGTTTTGCTTCCTATGACCCTTCTTAAACAGGCAACATTATCCACTCTTCAAAAATATTTTTCTTCATATTTCAGTAGCTGCAGGAAAATCCAGATATTCTTATTTTTTTTTTTTAAATTTCAATATTAGAATCTTAATATCTGTATGGAAGTATTTATATAAGCCTTCTGGACCCAGGTTCCTACCTCTATAAACATTTTCAGTGGAAACTTCTATTTATGTAATGTTTGTTTTTCACAGTTGTATTTTCATGAATTTTTTTCATTCCTTTTTAGAAAAGAAAAATTTTGTGACTTAAAAAGATTATTTATAGCTACACCAATATTTTTCTTATTAACTTAACAGGGCAGGTTTATGAACAAAATTCATGAACAAGATTATTTTGTGATCAACAGCAAAAGGGAAACCAGTGATGTATTTCTCTAGACTCTTTTGAGTTACGGCACTGAAAAAGCCTGGGAATCAAGTTTCATTAGCAGTCATAAACCACTGAAAACATCTTCATCATTTTTTTGTTACTTTTTAAACTTTGACACATCTCCATTTGTCCAGAAATTCTAGTATGTGGAAAAAAGAATTTTGCAGTTGCCTAGGATAAATAAATTAACTACCACATATCCTTTCCTTTCTTCCACTGAACACACATGGTCAGACCTCCCTGTTGGAGGTTCTGGAGGATATCAAGGGAAAAAGAGTAATGTAGGTGATAGAGGGGCAGCAATTTACAGGGGGAGAAGGGTGAGTACTGTTACAGGGAACAGAAAAAGTGGAAGCCTTTAAGGGCTTAAAAGGAACAAGTAACAGAGAAAGGTGACACCAGTTAACGCTGATTTGCTGCTACTCTACAGTGACAACTTATGGTATTAGATCTCAGAGTAGCAAAGTGCTAAAAATATCACTTAACATGGTTATAAAACCTGCTACTCTGTTCCGTAAACTCAAAGCTCTGCAGTTCCTGAAAGTTCATCTGCGGTTCCTGTATCTGAGATTTTAAAAGTACACTTGAAAGTCATAGACACTGTTCAGTTCTCTGACGTGGAGAAGAAAAGAGACAACTCACCCTTGCCTAGTCCAGAGATGGCATCTGTGATCACCACCACCTTGTTCTGCACTGCTGATTTGGACACTAGCCATATGACTGTCTGGTAAATATAAACGATTCCACTGATCCCTAGAAGAAGCAATGGTAGGGCAAACACAGCAAGAATACCCATATCTGTGGAAAACAAGAGTCCATATTAAAGTAACAGTAACCATAATATGAACTCATAATTTTCAAGTTTCTCTTATCTACAAAAGAAATGTTTCCATGCATAAAAAGTCAGTAATCCCAGCATAACAAACACATAAAGCTGTGGGAATATTATCTTCCAATCAGCAGTTTCATATTAACATAAGTTAATAAGTCCTTTTGCTTGTTTCTCCATTTTCCTCATTATTTCACATTTTAATGAAATCTAGATTTGTAGATTAAAAATGACTATTGACAAAACAGAATAAAATTGCAGTTCAAATATTGCCAAAGTGGCAAGTATTGCCAAATATGGCAAAGTATAGGATAAAATATAAGATTAAGCTTTTTATTATGTGGCTACTATGGGAAAACAGATAAAAAGCTTTTTATACTAATTTCAAGTAAAACATATAATAGAAATGTTTTCTGTTCTGAAAGATACAGGAAAAAAGAAAAACCAAAACCACTTACTATGACTATGTAGAATCCTGGTATAGATAAATACTGTTTGCAACAAGTTTTTGTATTATGAGTTTAATTAAAGTCCTTCAAGATTTTCATTGAAGATTGCACTAGTTGAGGCTGCTTGCCCTGTGTGAGAATGACTATGTATAGCCTGCTGCTGTAGCAGAGGGACTTCAGAAGTAAATATAGCACCTACAGTGTGATTCACATGCTTGACTGTTTAGTTCAGCAGGCTGGACAGTCCTGTAAAGACTCTATGTACAGTATCAAATCCACTGTGCAATGAAACATTTGTCTTTTTGTCTTCTCTTTGGTTGCAGTTGTTCATAGGACTATCTCAGTTTCCCATCTGAGGTCTTCAACTAACTTTATTAAAAAAAACAAACCCAAAACTTCTGTATCAAATGCATGATGATTATATGTTTTAAAAACAATAAAAAGAACTTTCAGTTTGAAATCGTCACTGTTCTACAATATGAAACATACATGTGCACTGGGAAAGGGTCTCCAAGCAAGCTGGCTTTGGGAGCTAATGTTTTGTAATAAGCCAAGAGCTCCTGCTGGGCAGCAGTGTGCTGGAAGTACTGTGCTTCCAGGGGGCACATGCTGCTTTCCAGTCTTGGTATTTGTAAGGTAGATGTCTATCTTTTCCAGCAATTTCAGGATCTTATCAATTTTACCTTATCACCTCTTGCATTTCCTTCAAAGATGCAATGTTTATTGACCTGACTGACTCAGTAATGGGATTCAATTGGAATTGCGGGGGAATGTATCATGAATCATTCAGAATCTTTTATCACAATCTTATGAATGTAAATATTAACAGTTGGATTTAATACTCCTGTTTATGTTGTGTAACTGGTCAACTAAATTCTACAGAGCAATTCTCAACTCCGTGAGAGAATGACAAGGTTAGAAACATTACTGAATCATTGATATTGGGGTGTTGTTACAAGGAGCAAAGATGTTATTATTGTCTGCAGGTACAAAATAGTATCAGCTTTCAATGAATGGGAAGAGTAGAAAGTTGTTCAAGAGGCCATCAGGAGGAGACTTATCGACAGTTAATTCTAACTAGCTCTAGAAGCTAACAACATCAGAAATAAAGATGCATATTCCTTTCTGTGACAGTTGGATCTCCTGAGAAAGAATGCATGATTTAAGATTACCAAACCAAAGAACTATATAATGGACATCTGTGAGGCCACTGACATGGTCTCACATGATATCCTTCTCTATAAACTGGAGAGATACGGACTTGAAGGGTGGACTGTGAGATGGATAAAGAATTGGCTGGATGGCCACAGACAGCAGGTTGCGGTCAACAGCTCTCTGCCCAGATGGAGACCAGTAATGAGCACTGGCCTCCAGGGGTCTTTCTTGAGAATGGCACTCTTAAAAATCTTAAAAATCAGTGACCTAGTCAGAAGGATCAAGGGCACTCTCAGCAAGTGTTCTTTGCAAAGAACACCCAGCTGAGTGGTGTGGTTGACATAATAGATGGAAGGAATACTCCCCAAAGGGACCTTGACATGAACTGAATGAAGTTCAACAAGGCCAAGTGTGAGGTGTTACACCCGGGTTGGGGTAATCCAAATTATCTGTACAGACTGATAAAAGTAGTAACTGAGAGTAGCATTGCAGAGAATGACTTGGGGAGTTCTGATGTATGAAAAGCTGGACATGAGCAAGCAGTGTGTCCTTGCAGCTCAGAAGGCCAACTGCACCCATCCGCAGAAGAGTGCCAACAGGGCAGGGAAGGGATTGTCCCGCTCTGCCTTTGAGAGTAGCCATCTGGGATATTGTGTTCACGTCCCTAAGCACGAAAAAGATGTGGAGTTGTTGGAGCAGGTCCAGAGGTGGGCCACGAAGATGCTCAGAGGTCTGGAGCCTTCTCCTGCGAAGAAGGGCTGGGCTTCTTCACTCTGGAGGAGAGAAGGCTCTAACAAGACCTCATTGCAATCTTTCAGTACATAAAGGGAGATTATAAACAAAATGGAGACTGGTTTTCCATAGATTCATAGAATATCCTTAGTTACAAATGACCCACAAGGATCACCAAGTCCCACTTATGGCTCCACACAGAATCACACAAAAATCAGATCGTATGTCGGAGTGCATTGTCCAGATGCTTAACTCTGACAACTCAGTGCTATGACCACTTCCCTGGGAAGCCTGCCCTGTGCCCAACCATTCTTTGATGAAGAACCTTTTCCAAATATCCAACCTGAGCCTCATCTGTTACAGCTTCATGACACTCCCTTGGGGCCTGTCACTATCAACAGAGGTCATTGACTGCTCCCAAATCTCTCTGTGAGGAAGCGTTAGGCCATGATGCATCCTCTCAGCCTCTTCTTCTCAGGGCTGAACAAACCAAGAGAGTTAGCTGCTCCTCATAACACCCTGCCTTCCAGATCCTTCACCATTTCGTAGCCTTCCTTTGGACACTTCCTCCAGGGAAGAAGGGGATAAGAGTGGAAAAGTTAGGAATAGAGGGAAAAACAAGTGAAAGGATGAGAAAATAGGAGAAAATCACAGAATCATAGTATTACAGGAGTTGGAACAGACGTCAAGAGATCATCGAGACCTACCCCCCTGAAGGTGCCCTACTGTAGGTCACACAGGTCGGCGTACAGATAAGTCTTGAATATCTCCATGGAAGGAGACTCCACAAACTCTCTGAGCAACCTGTTCCAGTGTTCTGTCACCCTTAGATAGATACATGGATAGATTCTGTCTTCCTTAGATAGATATCATGATCCTGAATGCCCCCTTTCTACATGTAGCAATTCCAGTAAATTTTCCCATTCATCACCCATTTTCAGGGTTTGGGAAAGAAAGTAGGGTGTATCAGTGGATTCATCAAAAGGAGTGTAGTTAATTCTTTCACTTCACAGTTTTGCTTGTGTGCTGGATCCAACCCTGTCTGGTGGGATGCCACTCAGCTTCCCTCACATTCCTTAACCTTTGTGATATCCAGATGTCCTCCCAGTTCTCTTCTGCCACACAGGACTTGGTTTACCTCCAAGCATTTTGTTCAGTGCATCCCTTGAAGACTGCACATGAATTAGTATATTCATGTACCAGTTTGAGGTTGTCTTTTTCTCTCCTAAGTACCTCCCAAATTGTAACTAACTCCCTGACTTAGGCACTGCCTTCCCCTTCACTAAAAACTTCATCTCTGGTTTCTATTTGCACTGGCTACCACTCAGTATTTCCATACTTCCCCTTTGTGCCTGGTAGAGGTGTCTGCAAACCAGACATTCCTCATTCCTTCCTGGAATGGAGAGGCATTCTTTACCAGAGAAGCAGCAATTTAGGTTAAAGAACCCATATTAGAAATCTCCTGCGTGGGAAGGGTCATAAGTGACCCTTCAAAGAGGTGAAAGTAATGATCCAGTTGAGCATACGATTTCCTTCCTGTTTCCCATTGTGCTACTCCAATGGGCAGAGGTATCCCTGTTAGCACCAGCCTTAAGACCTTGAAGGGCCCATGCTGACTGCTGCAAAATGTTTTGCCCTGCCTCCTTGAATCCTAAAGTTACCACAAAGAGCCCCTTTTCTCAGGCAGAGTATCATCTTTCAGAATCTTTAAAGGTGCGCAGAAAAAGCCCATCCATCTAGCTGGGACATCTGGGCCCACAGGTGTATCAGAAGTCCACGTGAGGCAAATCCCCAAGCAAGGCACAACGGGTCATGGGGGTGTATTGGTCCTAAGGCCTGGTGAGTATTTGCCCCGAAAATCAATTGTTTCAAGGCTTCCTCACGTACAGGAAAGCAATCCAATGCAGCCCATTTTCAGGTTAGATCATACAAAGGTTGAGCAGTGATGGAGAAATCCAGGATATGCTTTCTTCAAAAGACTAATAAGCCCCAGGCATATTGAAGTACCTTCTTATTTTGGGGCATACCTGTTGGCTGTAGAGCCACCATGGTGTTGGAGGGAATACACACAACTCCTCCTTTCCACCAGGTGGATCATTTGCTCTGGCCCAGCCAGCATTGTTGTTGGAGATTTCTGGTTTGGCACTAAGGCTCGTTCATGTATTAACTGTAATCAGGCTGCTTCCTGAGTTCTCTCGATCAGTTGGTGAAGTTCCCCCTGAAACTGTAACTGGGTCACTTCTTCCCAGGGAGTCAAGAACTTCTGCCCAATAAGCTGTCCTCTGAGTCAGGGACCAAGGGGCTCAGTTGGTCCCAGTGGTCATGAAAATATCAGGTCTCCAGTGACCCAGTGACCTTCCACCTCCTCACTTAAAAGTAATCAGTACCTTCCCATTAAGAAACTTTCCACACATATTCTGTCTCTGTCCCCTTAGCATTCCTGCTGTATTTTTGCAGTTTAGCTGAATATGAGGTTACTTTTGTTATAGTGGTTGGACAAACTGCTCTGCTCATGAGATAAACATCATAGATGTATGTAAGCGACAGCCTTCTTTCTCTGGGCACTGATGTGCTCTTATGCAGGCTCCTGATAATCTCAGTGCCCTTTTGCAGTGCTCTGTTTATCTCAAG